ATAATCAAAAACAGATCCTTCTTAAGCCGTGGGTTAGCAAAGTTTCTTCTTGTCTTGAAAGACTTTCTTAAGCTGTGAGTAATAAGTTTCCTCTAGGGACAGCAAAGGGACAAATAAGCCGTGGGTGTGTAAAGTAAGTCTCTTGTCTTAAAGACTTACTTAACCATTGGCTTAGTAAAGTTTCTTCTTGTCTTAAAAGACTTTTTTAAGCCGTGGTTTTTCTTTTATGGGCAGCAAACGGACAATCAAGCCGTGGGTGTAAGTCAAATAAGGATCTGTTTTTGATTTCTCAAGTCTCTTGTCTTAAGGACTTTCTTAACCATTGGTCGGTTATATAATCAAAAAACAGATCTTTCTTAAGCCGTGGGTAAGTAGAAAAATAAGGATCTGTTTTTGATTTTAGTCTTTTGTCTTAAAGACTTTCTTAACCATTGGTTGTTATAATCCATTTCCTCCAAATAATCAAAAACAGATCCTTCTTAAGCCGTGGGTTAGAAAAGTTTCTTCTTGTCTTAAAAGACTTTCTTAAGCTGTGAGTAATAAGTTTCCTTTAGGGACAGCAAAGGGACAATCAAGCCGTGGGTGTAAGTAAAATAAGGATCTGTTTTTGATTTCTCAAGTCTCTTGTCTTAAAGACTTACTTAACCATTGGGTTAGTAAAGTTTCTTCTTGTCTTAAAAGATTTTTTTAAGCCGTGGGTAATAAGTTTTCTTTAAGGGCAGCAAAGGGACAATCAAGCCGTGGGTGTAAAGTCAAATAAGGATCTGTTTTTGATTTCTCAAGTCTCTTGTCTTAAAGACTTTCTTAACCATTGGTCGTTTATAATAATCAAAAACAGATCTTTCTTAAGCCGTGGGTAAGTAAGAAAATAAGGATCTGTTTTTGATTTTAATCTTTTGTCTTAAAGACTTTCTTAACCATTAGTTGTTATAATCCATTCCCTCCAAATAATCAAAAACAGATCCTTCTTAAGTCGAGGGTTAGTAAAGTTTCTCCTTGTCTTAAAAGACTTCTTTAAGCCGTGGGTAATAAGTTTCCTTTAGGGGGAAGCAAATGGGTGTAAGTCAAATAACGATCTGTTTTTGATTTCTCAAGTCTCTTGTCTTAAAGACTTACTTAACCATTGGTTGGTTATAATAATCAAAAACAGATCAACCTTAAGCCGTGGGTAAGTAAGAGAAATAAGGATCTGTTTTTGATTTTAATCTTTTGTCTTAAAGACTTTTCTTAACCATTGGTTATTATCCATTCCCTCCAAATAATCAAAAACAGATCCTTCTTAAGCCGTGGGTTAGTAAAGTTTCTTTGTCTTAAAAGACTTTGTTTAAGCCGAGGGTAATAAGTTTTGTTTAGGGGCAGCAAAGGGACAATGTTCCCAAAATAAGAATCTAACAGAACACTATTAGATTAGTGTCTGTCTAAAGATCTTTTGAGGGGTTTTGAAGTGGAAAACCAAAACATCAAAACAAAACAAAAACAATCAATCTCTGGGTTTTGAAAAAAAAAACATAAAATAAAAGGCTTTTTGAAATCTTCTTTGTTATTGAACTCAAAACCGATGGGGAAGCTGTAGAGAATTAAAAAGAGTTATTTACCTTAATGACAGGAGTCACACGGGAGTCACTGCAAAAACATTCTGCTGCTACAATAAAACCCATTATGTATGTTGTTTCGCCTTTCATCTCTCTCTCGTCACACTGTTTCTTCTCTTGTGAAGCTAACTGTAGCATAAACGACATGACTTGTTATACATAATAATACGTCAAAATAAGAATTTGAGTGCTTAGACAAAACAACACTCGTTCAATACATCAAGGATTCTTACAGAGGTAAGTACCAAAAATCAAGAAAAAACAAGACAATCAATCGAACTATAGACATCAATAGCACAAGAAAGATTCACAAGAAAACCCTAACATAGAGCAAGAAACCCCAAACCGATACGGAATCTAAAGAGAAGGAAAACCCTAAATCAAAATTGCGATCGAACTATAAAGGAACAAGACAATCAATCAATCGAACAAAAAAAGATTCACACGAAACCCTAAGATAGAACGAGAAACCCCAAACCAATCGGGACGGAGTCTAAAGAGAATGAAACCCTAGAAACAAAATTATGATTTACAGAGATCGAAACACTTACTATAATGAATTGGATCCGTTTCTGCAAAGTTTGGACGGGTCGAAATATACATGCGAAGATTGAGAGAGATAGAGAGAGAGTTCTTGAAAGATTTGTATTTTTTTTCGATTTGGGGAAAAAGATGTTCTTCTCTCTCTTTCTTCCATGTATTAATAAATAGTATTACTGTTACGCGTTTTCCTAACGGTTATATTTCAATTATTAGGTTGGTCTCGATCGCGTCTCCTTTTAACGGTTTAGTTAGATTTTAAAATTTGAGTCGATTTATTCTGAAATCAAACCGGTCTTGGATTCACCACTTAAACCGAACCGGTTCTTTTTCCACTGATGTCTAACTATTACGCTGTCGTTTCCATGTCCCTATAATTTGTTTGGCAATTTTTCAATTTTTTTTTTGTAATTAAAAATAGAAGTAAGAACCATGTGTTTGCCAAAAAACAGTGTATGAATGTCTTTTCTTTTTATTTGTTTCTCATTTAGATACAACCACATCAAAAAATCTTACACACTCAATTTTATTTTACACAGCAGATGGAATGCCGTTGTCTCCGAAAACGTTGACGAAGTGATGTCCTTCAGAAACGTCAGATTCGGACCCCATGAAAGTGAGGTGCAGTTTCGTTTGATCCACTATTGGGAGGCTCGGAATGTTCAGTTGAAGGTGTTGCTGGGTCTCGAAATGCTCCTCATCGACTCAGAGGTATAAACCTAGATCGTTACTAAAGTTTGTTCTTTTAAGATAATTTTTTTATATCTCGATTTCCATGATCATCAGCTTCTCATTTTATAAGTTAGTTAATTGCTTTCGTTTGAGGAGGTTTTTTTAAATATATTAGTTACTTTGTTTCCCGAAATAGTGTTGATTCTCCCTTAGTTGAGAGGTTCATCGTTTATGCATGCGGTGATCTTAGCTGAATGATGTGTTTATTGTATTAGATCTTTGATCCGTAGCTGTTTACTGTACTAGATCAATGAACCGTATCTATGGTTTGGTTTACATGATGTTAGCCATTGTTGTTAGCACCATAACGAGAGTTATGTAAATCTTAGTTTCTGGTTAATATCTTATTTATTTATGTTCCTATGCTAATCTTTTTTTCCAGCTTATTTAATAAAACTCTTCAAGGTTGTTAATAGGGAACTGTTATCCATGGGTTTATCCCAGAAGGACGGATTCAGGCTTATTTACATAATATCTATTTGTTATATATTTAGATAAATGTTTAATTTTTAATATAATATGGGCTTTTAATGAGTTTTTTCTTTCTCCTACATAAAACACTTATTTTCTCGTTTTTTAATTGCAATTCTACTATGTTAATACTTTAGATGATTTATACAAGAGAGAAGTAACAAAATATCCATATTTAAAACCTATATTAGGTAAGTACTAATGACTTGATATAAAAGTAATATGTCTTACTATTTCACTTTCGGTTTGACAATAATAAATTTTTGACGTTTTTTTTAACTGACACTCTCTTTTCTTCATCTGACATTCTCGTTTCCTCTTATATAATCATGTTTCTTTTTATAACATATTTTTCTTCTTATTCCCACTCTTTTACTTCTTATAATTTTATTTTTCTAAGTTTTCATTTTTTCTATAATGTCAATCCGTAAAAAAACTATATTCTCTATTTTTCTTCATAATATATCATTGATTTTTAAAATTCAGTTTCATAGAGAAATTGAAATTTCTACAATATTTATTTTGTTAACTGTTAACACCTAACACTTTTGTTAACATCTACAAATATTTGTTAATAGCTAGCACCTAATACATTTGTTGATATCTATAAATTTGTTAACATCAGACATTTCTATTAACACTTATAGTGTATGTATCTGTTAACAGTTAACACATATGTTAACATCTATAAAATTTGTTAACAGTTAATTCTTTTGTTAACACATCTTGTACATGTATTTGTTACAACTAATATTTTTATTAACATCTAATATTTGTTAAAGCTACCACTTTTGTAAATACATATGGTATGTATATTTGTTACACAATTAACACCACGATTAACGTTTACAATTTTATTTAATTAATGCATTAAATATTAACAATCGATAAAAATGATTAAACTAGAAAATAGTTTATATAGAAATAATAAATTGATAAATGCAAGATAAGAAATATTTTCGTAAAGGAAAGAAAAGAAGAAATAAATATATAAGAGGAAATGAAAAAAAAAAAAGATGATGATAGAGTTGAAGGGTGAATAAAAGGTGTTAGCTGTGAGAAAAAGGTGGAATCGAAATGTTAAGAGAGAGATTACCAATTTATAAATCAATTTCTTTAGATTGTTGTTTCTTGGTCTTGGTCTGTGAGAAATGTGGTTAGTAAGAGAGAGGGTGACAAAGCTAGAGTTGTAGAATGTTGTAACTCTAAGGGTTAAATAGTCATTAATTTGAAATTGTCAAATTATGGGTATTACAAATTAGGATGGCCAATAGAAGTATTTTCGCAAATAATCTCTTTATACAAATGACCAGTTCTCACTAAAAACAGCTACAACGCACAATTATTTGAAAGTTCAAACAGTTTTTTGATACATTAAAGAAATAGAAAATGGTTTATGCATGCACGTATTATATACAGAGTTGAGTTAGGAACATGCGTGCGCACCATAGCGCCCCCACGTTACCCACTTTTATCTAATCATTGTTCAAAAAATGCATTTAAATTTTTTAATGTTTAGGGTAATGTATATATTCTATAACAAAAATTATATGGAGTTAAATAATCACTAGTTTTTTTTCTTTATTTGTGCCGTTTAAAAATAGAAATTACACGATATTGGTGTTGAGACAAAAGAAAAAGTCAAGGCTCCCCTACTTCTTCGATTCATCCATGATCCTCCTTTGAGACCATCTTCATCGCCTCTCTAACAACACAAACTAAACCAAAAACACAAACACATGAATCTCTCTTTTCTCACCATCACTTAACCATTTTTAAGCTTTACGTAAATATTAATAACAATAAGCTATATGGAGAAGAACGACAAGGACACTGATCTTCATGATGATCATAATGACAAATCTAAGGAAGAGGAGAAAGGAGACACGGTTTCAGATGCTAATCTCCCAGAGGATGGTATTAACAAAGAGAACGTGGACATTGGTAATGCTGACACAGATCACAACCAAGAAGACAATGCGGACAAGGTTAACTCACCATTAGGACAAGAAGAATCACCACCACCAGAGATTCCTCAAACCATAGAGTCCTTATCCGAAGAACTCGACCAGCTTCTCAAGAGTCTCTCCCTCCACAAAGACGTCAACACCGAGGAGGAGAAAGGAGATCAAGAAGATGGTTATTTCCAGATCCCACAGTTTGTTGGCAAGTTCTTGGATCTCTTCGAGGACAAACTCTCCAAACACGACTCTAGCGACCCCAAGACAACGTGGTATCATGATCCAGAGGAGGTATCTTCTCTTCTTGACGCAGTAGATCGTGTCTCTAACCTTATGGAGCTCTTGCTCAACACCAAATCTTGTTTGGACCATCACGAGTCCTTGATCAACCACGCTGGTTCGATCCAGCAACGTGCGATGGCATTCTTGGAAGACGAGTTCCGTCTTCTTTTAGAAGAGTCTGTGATCAAAGAGCCTACGGTGGTCACTGACGACAACCAACAAGACCATCACAACGACTCGCAAGATCAGGATCAGGGAAACGTTGATACGGAAGGCGGCGATGAGAAGATTGAATACCCTGGCTACTCTGAGGAGATGGTTGTGTTGCTGAGGAAGATAGTTGAGAAGATGAAAGGAGCAGGGTACGGATGTGAATGCAGAGAGGCTTACTTGGTAGGTAGGAGGAACATCTTGCTGAGAACATTGAAACGTGACTGTGAGTTTGAGAAAGTGAGTATAGACGAGGTGCAGAAGATGAGCTGGGGAGAGCTTGAGAGAGAGATACCTATATGGAACAAGACTGTTAAAGACTGTTCCTCCCTCTTCTTCCCTGGAGAGCTCAAACTCGCTGAGAAGATCTTCCCAGAGGATAAAGGAAGCTTGTTCTGCATCATCACTCACGGGTTAGCCATCCAGTTCTTGGGCTTCGCAGAGGCTGTGGCCATGACCAGGAGATCCACTGAGAAGCTCTTCAAGATTCTTGACATCTACGAGACTCTTAGAGACAGCTTTCCAGTTATGGAAGAGCTCCTCCCTGAGGAGCTACGCAGCGAGCTGAGAAGCGAGGTGAATAGCGCTCGTTCACGCTTAGGAGAGACAGCTATTAACATCTTCTCGGATCTTGAGAACTCTATCAAATCAGATTCTAGCAAGACCCCTGTGCCAGGAGGCGCGGTGCACCCGTTAACTAGGTACACAATGAACTACCTCAAGTACTCGTGTGAATACAAAGACACGTTGGAGCAAGTTTTCAAGTCACATTCCAAGATGGAGGAGGAGGAGTCTACGGAGAGAGCCTTTGCAAGCCAGCTGATGAGGATAATGGACTTTCTCGACGGGAACATGGAGGCGAAGTCGAAGCTCTACAAAGACATACCACTGAGCTGTATCTTCATGATGAACAACGGGAGATACATAGTGCAGAAGATCAAAGGATCAGCAGAGATACACGAGGTGATGGGAGACACGTGGTGCAGGAAGAGGTCGTCTGAGCTGAGGACTTATCACAAGAACTACCAGAGAGAGACGTGGGGGAAGCTGCTTGGATTCTTGGGACACGAGGGGCTTATGCATAACAATAAGATAGTGAAGCCTAATCTTAAAGAGAGGTTCAAGAGCTTTAATGCGACGTTTGATGAGATACACAAGACGCAGACCACGTGGGTGGTTAATGATGAGCAGCTGCAGAGTGAGCTGAGAGTGTCTATAACCGCGGTGATGATACCTGCTTACAGGGCGTTCATGGCTAGGTTTGGACAGTACTTGGATCCTGGTCGTCAGACAGAGAAGTATGTTAAGTACCAGCCTGAGGATATAGAGGATCTCATTGACCAGCTCTTTGAAGGCAACACTTCCTCCTCTTCAACCGCTACCGCTAAGCGAAGAACGTAGCTTCTCTCCTTTTTCTTTCTTGTTTTGCAATTTCTTCTTATGAATAAAAAATGAATGTATCTTTGTTGATAGCATAATGGTTAAGTTATGTGAACTCAACACACCTTTTATTAACTTACTAAACGTCTAAAGTAGAAATACAAGAGGAAGGAAGAAGATAAGAGACACTTTATTCTTGAAACTTACTTATTCTCTTATTTAGGCTTTACTTGAGCCTCAAGCATCGAATCTGTAGATGCGACTGTGTGAAGATGGACGCTCCAAGCGGATCAACACTGTCCTAATCTCCATCGGGTAAAGCTCCATCACTAGCTTTCTTGGATCGATTTCTCTCCCTCTCTTTACATTCTTCATTTCTCCATCAGTAGCTTCACCTTCTACTTTCCACACCAACCTCTTCTTCTCCATTACGCTTCTTTCTTGATTTGCTGATAGGCTCATCTCCGTCACTTTCGCTATCTGCAGCACACGTTTGTATCACTATCTTCCACCTCAAAACAACACCATCTTTTTTTAAAATGCTTGTACCTTTTTGCCGGGGAAAAGCTTCTTCAGTTCCACGGTTGCCACTCCTGAATGATCTTTGTCCTCTCCCACCTGATTCCACAACCTCAAATGTTCATTCTACTACCAAACCCGCAGACATAACTAGATATTAACTATTAATACCTCGTAAAGATGAGCTAGACGTAGGAGGACGTTCCCATCATCCAGTTCCTGAAATCATCTCAACCAAAATCAATTGTGAACAAAAAAGTTATCAACTAAGCTCTCAACCAAACGATCTATCACTTTTGAGTCTACAAAAGAGGCACCTGTAGAGTCAGAAGTGCGACGTTGTCTGGCAAACTATAGGATGAATCAATCCCAGAGAATGATGCTGCACCGAAACTCATCGGCTTTCCATCATCCTGAAACATTTTAATTTGTATAAATGCTTCGGGACAGCTAAATAGTAGCATTCTGGTTATTACATTTACTCTTGTTTTCACCTGTTGAGCAAAGGCCAAGAGGAGTGGGGAATAGATCTCTTGTCCGAAAGTTCGTCGCCATTTTGCACCTTCTCCAGATGGATCGATTCTGTAGTAATATTTTCCTTGGATCTGTAATCATTTTCAGAACCGGAAACTTAGACCAGGAGAAACATAGTGCGCTTGAAGTGCATAATTTTCTATTGTGTATGTCCTTACAGTTAGTCCAGTACACTTGTCTTGAACACACACTGTCTCATTTAGAGCCTCCGCTACACCTCTGGAGTCATCAAGTAGCAGTCTCCTGAGATTTGAGGTGATAGTTTTGGTTAAAGGAATGGAAGAAGGGTAAGGAAAATTTGATATTGACTATCTCAATACCTATGAAGCATAAGCTCAACTTGTCCGTCCACAATGCTTGACCCTCCAATAGCTCTGTCCACCATCACTGAGAATTCCTTCTGACTGTCTTGCAGGTATATTCCATGGTTTATCTGAGAAGAATATATAATTTATACTCAACTGATCATTTGCAGACAACTGTAAACTACTGGGGCAATGTCAGTGACCACATACCGGGTAATAATTTCCTGCAACAGGTTGGTTGACTTCTAGTTTCCAGTCTGACCGATAATCACGTATCTGCAAAACAAGGATTCAGTTTATTTAAGGGTACAGAAAAAGAATAGAGATTCTTATCCTGATGAGATAAAAGGTGTTAGAAGATAAAATGGACATCATACCCTTTTGATATAGTCACGGCCACTTGAGTCTGTGTAGAACGTCTTGTCACTTTTCAGGGAACTTGAGATCTGGGTTACGACTTCCTTGCCAACTCCATCTTTAATCGGTATATTACCAACCTACACACCCAGATAATGCTAAAGCCTTTACAATGGAATATAAGACAAGAAAAGTGGTAAGGGATAGTTAATGTATCAGGCTCACAATAAATTCAACTTCCACATGCTCCTTGCCCTTGTAAACTCTAGTGACCTACAGAAAATTATAAAGTCAGATGGTATAAAAATCTACAAATCTACACTTCTGCAATAGTCTGTAAACGCAGACAAGTTAGTGTGGAAAGGGAAGACACTGAACGCGTAGGTACCTGAGAGATCCATGGATTTATCTGTTGATGAACTTCATCCACCAGTGGCCCACGAATAACAGTCAAAGGAACCTGAAGCTTGAGACAGTGGTTAAATATCTGTTTTAAAGTTCAATATTTTTAAGAGGTGAGTATAGACCTGTCCTTCAGGTTTGATGGGGAATGTGCCATTTGGACGGAAAACATACGCACCCGAGTTCTAGTGGTTGCAAACCAGACAAGAAGGCCAGGCACAGATGGAATAAGCGTACTAAACTTTAGCCACGAAAGGGAAGTGAACAAGATAAAAATCTCCTCTTACCTGAGGTTCTTTGTCATTTGATCCATTGTATGAAGAGTAGTAGCTAAACGTCTGTTTTAGTGGTTCTGTCATCTTTACAAAATGAAAAGAAGATTTATCAGCAACTTGGATCACTGCCAGATAATGCTTAAAAATTACTAACATACCGAGGTTCTGCTGTTAAAATAATTGATTGATTTCCCTTGATCAGTGGAAAAGCTAAGCTTTAGATGCCCATGACCAACATCAACAGTTGATTGTTCGCCTTTTTGGTATCTAGAGACATGTGATTTGCTAGAATATCCACCTAAATTTAGAACAAAAAGTGATAGTGATCAAGGTCAAAAGCTTGTTCCATTAGACCAAGTAGATATGTCTGCACCACTGTACCTGATTTCTTAGCATTGGAGATAGTGTAAGTAGTGAAGCCAAGAGGAGGCACAGAAACCGAAAACACAAGCCAATACTTTGGCACCTGTGTAGGGGCATGACCTAAGTATGCCTCCACATGATAGTTCCTTAACGCCGCATATTCATCCGTAAATGGAACGAGTTGAGACTCAACTTCGTGTCCCTCAGAGTCATGCACACCAATGTCTCCGCCCACAACCTGTCAAAGATCCGTCATATAGTTGTTCACACATATAGTGATATTTAACGAACAAGAACTTGATTGACTCACAGGAAGCCGGACAATGTCCACTCGCTTCCATCCAAGTGGGTTATAAGCCAATACAGTCTGCAAAGAAGAAAAAGAAGTGCAGGTCAGGAAGGAGGCACATATTATAATAGATGAGCTGAAAACTGATCTGCTTACCAAACTTTTTCCCTTGGATAAGTTAATTTCACTTGCGGGGCAGTAACTTATGTTCAGCAGCAAACACTGAAAGAAGAAAGGCCAAGCTATTATAATGGGTTACCTTTTATTAAACGGATGTAGTGAAAGCCTTCACAACGTATTGATAAGATTCTTCTGAGAAAAATGTATTAGCAAGAGATTATTTTTACCTGTTGGAACGTTGCAGGATCTAGTTTAGTCAAATGAGCAAGAGAAGTGGCAACCACACTCTCAGCCTGCAAGGTCAACGGATCTCATTTACATGCATATAGAGCAAACATGACATAAGAGAACCACATTTCACAGAGCAATTTGGTACTCCACCTCCACATAGCCTATTGCTAGTCGTTTGGCATAATCATCAGCCACATGTTGTTTCGATGTACCAGAAACAGCGTCATGATGTTGGGCAATTGCTAGGGCATCTGCTAACGAATCTGTATTAGGACCCTTCTCACTTCTCCCTTTAAAAAACTCGAGCTGCCTTGCCGCCTAAACTCTCCAAGTAACACACATGAATAAATATACAACTTCAATAGTATATTTGGAACGTGGAAGAACAAATACCAAGTAGTAGCCACTCATCACTCTGACATAACGCTTAAGTGCTGGCCTACTTGTAAAATATCCAGTCCAGTAAGCATTTATACGGTCTGCATAACTGAAGTAAACATTGGTTCAGTCTCTAAGCACAACCTGGATCAAGCAGTTAGATAATTTAAGATCCAACTCACGGGAAATAGTCCTCTGTTTTCAGGGGCCAAGCCTCATTAGCCGCATGTTTTGCATCTGTATATATGGAAGGAGTAGAGTAGAGAGCATTGATACGCCCATCCTACAATAGTTATCGGTCCATGGGTTAGAATATCTCCTTTGTTGATCTACACAGACAAACATTTGTAGACATAACGAGGAACATAATAGTTTAAACAGCTCTTTCTATGACTTACAAGGTTAACATAATGAAGGAGCTTGTCCATTTGTCGAAACCAGGTGTGTGCATACTGGTACCTGAAATCTGTTCCCATGGTGAACATGATGTGATTTGTTCTAGTAATGTTGGCCTGCAAATACCAAGAAACATGTCACAAAAACTAACAGAAAATTCTACCAATAAAAAAAGGAAGATTCTCCAAATCTACCTGATCTAATGCTGCAGCTACAAAGGCATTCACTCGCTCTTGAACATTGTAATCAAACAGGTCCGGATCATCCTTCACGGATTAAGAGCCATACTTATCATAAGAACAGAATAAATAGAGCAGAAATAGTAATCAACTGCAAAGGAATATACTTGGACAACGGGGGAATCATCGGTGATTTCATAGTAGAAGCCACCAGGTGGAGGTTCGTAGTTCTTAGGGAAAGCACCAGCAAAAATCTGTATCAAGTCATATCAATATTAGCAAAAGAATATGAAAATATGAAGCATAAGCTATCATTTTCTGCTTCGTGTTTTCACCTGTGAAGAAGAACCGAGACTCTTTGAGCCACGCCAGATAACTTCAAGACTCTTTTCCCCTTTACGCTTCTCCCTATCTTGGTAATCTATCCGACCAAAAAACACTGAGTCGAATCCAACCTGCGTTTAAATCAGTAAAACCAACATCTTCACACCTCTAGATCCATACACAAAACATAAACTAAAATGGAAGGAGCTTACTTCTGCGCCTAGCAAGTAAGCCTGCACTGCAGAATGTCCAAAAGGATCAATCTGCCAACCAATTCTTGGAGTCACATTGAACTCTCTGACAATGAATCGATGCCCTAGAGTCGTCTGATCAATCATGTCTATATAGTGCGGTGCTGCTTCATCATGCATACACATACCACCATTTCTACAAAAAAAGAAGGCAATGTTAACTTACAAGGATATAGAGAGAGCAAGGTGAAGAAACATAACACATACATGTGCTCTAGCTGGCCTGAGCGTATAAGTCCCTTCACAATACTTTTGATTTCCTCACTTTGTTCTCTCCACCATCGCTGGAAAAAGGCCTACATTCATCACAAATAAGCTCGATTTATAACACTTCAATAAACGGAATCTCTGGCCCCTATTTCTATAATTATGGTTTGTTAGTCTCTAAACTCGATCACCGGTTTTAGGCTTCAACAATTGTTATGCCCTAAAACTTCATTTCCAAGCACATTCAACAAAAGTTAATAACTTCCGTGCATCAATTAGGAAAATAAGATATCAACTTTACCTGTTCTACATAAATGAATCTGCGGTTCTTATCAGCCAGCAACGCAGGAACAATTGAATCCAGCACATTTTGAACACAAGCAACCTGCAGGCAAAAAAACAAAACAAGGTTAGTGTACAACATAATCTAAACCATAATAATCAGATAAGTGAAAGGCAGAAAGCAGTTGACCTGGATAGAGTTGTTAGAGCCGACATAGTACTGGTCAACGGTCTTGAGCCAACCAACATCATCGTGGGAATGAGGAACCACATGGACATTAAGCTTACCAGGGACCATGGTATGTGAAGTATTGTAGACCATGTACCTTGATTCCACGCTTGAGAAGATTCCCAGAAACAAAACAACCCAACAGAGAAACTTGGAAAGATCCATTTCTCCCAAACTCTGACTGTGTTCAGTCAACTCAGTTAAGAGAGTGGCGATGAAGCCAGAAGAAAAGAATTGCCCTTTTTTAACCCTCGAAGCTAATCTTTTTATTTCCGAAAGTGTTGTCCTTTTCTACGGGAAAATGGGCATTTAATTCCCCAAGTATTTGAAATCGGCAGTTTTAATACTCAAGTATTGCTCGCGCAAAATAATTCCCCAACTAATAGTTGACTGCGCGAAATTAGGAACCAAATAGTCAACCGTTAACTGGTTAACGGAAAGATAACGGTTTCCGTTAACCTTTTAACGGTTGACTATTTCGTTCCTAATTTCACACAGTCAACTATTAATTGGAGAATAATTCTGCGCAAGAAATACTTGAGTATTTAATCTGCCGATTGAAAATACTTGAGGAATTTAAAACATCAATATTTTTTTTAAAAAAATATATAATTTAAAAGATTTTCAAGTCAGATACAATAAATATACAAGATTTATACTTTTTGAAAGAGATTTCTGAGCTTTTACAATAACATGTACAATAATAAAAATAATTACAGTGGTAGTTTATTGTTGATGTACTTCATGTTTATAAAATCACATATCGATAATTTCATACCATTTACGGAATCATATGTTGTAAATTAGATCTCTACTTTAGGCTAGGGATGGCAAAAAATATCGAACCAAATAAGAACACAATCAAATCAAATTTAACTAAAGTAAATAGATTTTTTTCTTTTTAAAAAGCGTTAATAAAGTTAATCGTTAGTGTTAGGATTTAAGTATATTGTATAAGTTAATAGAGACTTTAGTTTTCAAATAATAACAAAAGCACATTGTTTTCTCGGTTCGGTTTAAACTCGGTTCAGTTTGGTTTGGAGCTGTTTTGGTTCAGTTGGTTCGGTTTCATTCGGTTCGATATTTTTTGCCATCCCTAGTCTAAAGTAGAGATCTAATTTACAACATATAATTCCGTAAATGATATGAAATCATCCATATGTGATTTTATAAACATGAAGTACATCAACAATAAACTGCAACTATAACTATTTCTATGATTGTAAATGTTATTGTAAAAGCTCAAAATTCTCTTTCAAAAAGTAAAAATCTCGTATATTGATTGTATCTGACTTGAAAATCTTTTAAATTATATATTTTTTTTAAAAAAATATTGATGTTTTAAATTCCTCAAGTATTTTCAATCGGCAGATTAAATACTCAAGTATTTCTTGCGCAGAATTATTCCCCAACTAACAGTTGACTGTGTGAAATTAGGAACGAAATAGTCAACCGTTAAAAGGTTGACGGAAACCGTTATCTTTCCGTTAACCAGTTAACGGTTGACTATTTGGTTCATAATTTCATGCAGTCAACTATTAATTGAGGAATAATTCTACGCGAGTAATACTTGAGTATTAAAACTGCCGATTTCAAATAGTTGGGGAATTAAATGTGCATTTTCCCCCTTTTCTACCTTGTTCTTTAATAATTCACGTTGCTCTACTTTAATAATGTGGTCCTTATCCATAGAGAAACCTTAGAAGGGAGGTTAGGTTACGGTCCAACATACACACATCATCATATATCAAACAAAATCATCCCAAAAAACAACATTATTCTGCATCTTGCATCTGCCTTATGATTCAGTATATCATCAACAAGCACGCGGACGCGTGGAACTTTCTTGATGAAGGCGAGGAGCTCGTGATTCACGGCGAATTTCATATTAAAAGAGCCAAGCCTACCAAGAAGCCCATTATGTTAACTGTACTTCAGATTAGCCCGTTAAAAGGACACAAAGATGTTGAATGTGACGAAGTGGGAGTAGCTGCCACTGCCATCTTCCTTCAATGGTCGTTAAATCTAAGACAAGGAATAGACAAATGCAAGTTCTAACCCCATCAATAGATATATATAATGTTGGCCTTACAAGTTATATGCCACAGACATAACAGGGTTCAGGAAGGGACAACAATGCCCAAGAAGGCAGTAATATATAATGTACGCTGACAGAAGAATATGCTCAAGTCCCTAAAACAACATTGTTAAGGAGGTCCGCTAGGGAGATAGTTTTGCTATGTACTCCCCAAAAAATATTTTACCGAAATAAGTTACCAATAGCCTTCTTCTAATCCTTGCTAGTAGAGGCGTTTTCTACATTTGACTGCTCCACAGAAGCAAGTAAGCTTTTTCACCTTCCCATCAGGTCCATGAACGCTATCAAGCGTATATCCATAGTCGTAAGTCAGCTCCTACAGTTGAGACAAGAGAATGCTTCACGTTTCTAATTATAAAGAGTATGTTCGAGTTAGTCACCACAGGTAGACAGACAGTACCTGCAGTGGTGGAATGTTGTCCGCTGCAAAAAGAACCACACGGGCAAGCTTGATATCGTGGTGAGAACTCAGTACGCACTGAACAAATAGATTTGGATCACAGCTGTGATTTATGAACCTAGCAAAGTTCCCTATTGAACCAGCATCGATGCAGAATTCTGGTACATTCTCATCTCCATTACTTTCACTGGCTTTGCTATCCGTTGGTACAACAACGTCCTTTAGTCTTCTCTGTTTGCAAGGGGAAAAAACAAGACATTCCTCAATAAAAAAAAGACTGATTCAGTAGTGATAGCTGATAACATAGCAAAATAATCTTCTCTATATTACCTGTCTTCCGTCAAGACCTTGCATTGTCTGTTGGCAATCAATCTCAAATATGTAGTCGTTGTCAGTAAGAGTATCCACATCGTCAGTTCTTCGGAGAACTCCTATGTACTCACATACTGGTGACCCAGCTGGTATGAAGTCCCATGATCTAACTGCCCAGCCCTTCTTTGGAGAACGAAAGACCTATTTGATGAAACCACAGCAAAATAAACCAAAGGAATAAGCTTTGATTCTAAAGGACGACAAAAACTGGATATTGTCATTTTCCTTATAAAAACTATATTTGGTTCTTTCCCAATCAAAATTCAATTTAAGTTGACTATCAAGGTCTTGTTCTAACCAAAACATACCTCCAGATGAAATCTTAGCCGCTTCTGAGATGTTCTGTTGACACATTCAGGCCCACACCCACAGTTTGGACCACATTCAAATACAACATCTCGAGGCTCAATTAATCTGAAAAGAAAAAAAAAAGACAGAAAATCAACACTACACCAAGAGCCCTGCTAGTCAATGCTCATGGAGAAGAAGTATAAGACTGAAGTAGCAATCGTAGTAAGTCACACAAACTAATAAACAATGACAGCACAAGGAATTCCACCTGCCATCATTAAGGTCGACATATGGAAAGTTTCCATCATTAAGCCTAGCACAGGCACATTTCTTTGGATCAGTGCAGCTGCCTCGGCAGCTACACCCAGCTGAGCTCTTTGGAATTTTGACATTGGGCTCAATCTTCAAAGAATTGATATATGTGAACCCTGAGACATGAAAAGAAGATAACTCAGCTCGTGTCGATTACATAAGAATGAAAATATAATTATCTAGATCTGCTTCAACTTGCCTGATGGTGAAATTGGTGGGTCATCCACACGATTAGTGGCTGGAATGCGCTTAGATTCTAGCCCTTTAGAGATGTCCTCACATACCAAGCTTCATAAAATTTTGGCATTATTTGATGATAAATTGAAATTAATTGTTTAATGCTACATGGATAAAAGCTAAACAGATACCCCTGAATCTCAGAAGTAGACGTTGGTATGCGTCCGCGCACAAAATTGACCTGCAATGACAAGCAACAGAAATAGAGTAGAGTGCATGAAAATAGAACGATTTGTAGTAATCCAAGTAAGAAGTTAGAGCATAATTAACATTGCGATGGAAACAGAAGCAATTTTACAAATTACATTATTCAACTACAAGCTTTGAAGGGATTCATTTAGTTTGAAAGCTGTCTTCTGAGTGGCCTACGTTTGTAACGTGGACTTGAAGTAACTTATAGACACAATGTTGCAATAGATATACACACTAAGTAATTAGAATACAGAATGATCTAATAAAAATAGCAGCTATCATAAATCATAAGACAAGAGAACAGACATACCTGATTAGTAGTTAGTTCTGGTTGTCCCTCCATTCGTTTCAACTGATACTTATACACCGTAAACCCTGAAACTCCCTTTTCTGCCCAGAACTTTACAACCTACACGAAGAAGGTAGTCCACAAATGAATAAGGAAAATCCATACGACCTTTTAAAATAGCATTACAGATAAAAAGGAGCTCAATAGGGATATATGCACGAGTACCTTGTACAATCCATCATAAGTGTATACTCTTTTGCTATAGCTACTTTTGCAATCGTGACCACGAATAACTCTGACAGGGACCTTATCTGCAAAGCAATTCTGTAACGGAAACACGTAATACATAAGTTCCTTACATAAGGACCGTGGTGCACAAGAAGTAAAAGAAAGAAAAACTTAATGAGAAATATTAGAGAGAGAGAGCAGGACCTTTAGGGCCAAATTGCCTCTCAGTAACTCTTGATCCTTATACTGACGTTTATCACCAGTTAGGTTATGCCCTCCCTGACCAGTGTAAGTCACAACATCTGCATTGTCTAAATCATCCTCATACTGTCCCGACATAACAATAGACGTAGCGAGCGGAAAGTGGTAGTCACTATACTCCTGCAGGTGGAAAGAAAATAGTGAATAAAGAGAGATTATTACAATGTACACAGCATAATTATGATTAAAAATAAAAGAAAAAAAAGAGGGTAAGAGGAACTACTGTTTGGTAATCGGTTCCCATAAAATCGATGCCATTTAGCCAATGGCTATGAAAGCCAACAGCAACCATTTCAGCTCTTGAAAAGAACTGATGTCCAACGTCAATACCTGCAAGCAAGTGAAATCATATTAAACCCTCAGAACTAAAGAAACAGAGTTGTAAAAGCAGAATCATTAACCAACCTGGAAGGTCACCTATCCTTTTTCTTGGGTACAACACCGCATTGGCTTTCATCACCTGGTAAAAAAAAAATTATAGGCTTAAGTAAACAAACATACATTGAAAGTTACAGAATCGATAAAATTGTAAGAAAAAAAAATATTATGGACAGACAAATAGGTTCGAAATATTTGCACCAACAAACTGATATCAAAACAAATACTTGCCTCAGTGATTCCCTTCAAGTCGGGTCTGCTCAGCTTAGCCTAGACAACAATGAACCAACACAAGTCAACAACACATCAGAGAGATTGTTGCTGGAGACAAAACAAAACACAAACCTGAACCATAAGGAGATATTGAGTGTTGAAAAACCTCAGATTCCTCCTGACTTTGAGGTGAGGATCCTCGTCATTAGCGTAAAAAGCCAAACTTTTATTCTTCCCTTTACGCATTGTTGTAGTTAGGGTTCGTTCGTTGGTGCTCACAGGGACTGCATCCTCCTCTTCCTTGTTGGCATGTGACTCAGTCTCATCGTCACAAAGCTTAGAGCTTTGATCGCTGAGGAAGTTCACCCTTTCGCGTGCTAAGCGCTCCTTCTCGTCTCGCTCTTTTTGTCTCAGCTCCTGAACACGTGAGCTCAATCGACGCTCCTTTTGCTCCGGACTCTTTGCTCTCTCCCTTTTTCCAGCCATTGATTAATCAAAGCCCTAACAAATCACAATCCGACACGTTAGGGTTTCAAAAATTGAGACAACATCGAATCAAGACAAGGAGGAGACTCGCTAATCTAGAGATGAAACGTAGAAAATAAAACGAACCTGTAAATTTGTTGTCCGGAGATTAGAGACTGGAGACTGATGAGAAGCTCTCCAGACGAAGAAGGCTTGTGTAGACAACAACGAGAAATTTTCGCCCTTTTGTTTTTTATTTTTTTGTTTTTTTTCGGACAATTAAATGTCCTTTTTTCCAGCTGTTGCAAATTGCAATGCAACCTTTCAGTTTCCCTCCAAAGATATATTTTGGCGGACGGACGAAATAAATAAATAAAAAGTGTGAATTGGGCTTTATACAGCCCATTATCTTAAAGCCCATATACTCAAGGCCCGGTCTTATTCCATAAAAAAAAAGGAAAGATCGGTTCGGTTATGTGAAAACCGGACCAGTGGTCAATGTGGTAAAGCAGAGCAGGGTCCTTCCTCTGTCTTATCTTCCTCCTATACAAATCTCTCGCTTCTTCTCTTCTCTGCGGCCATTGAGTATTACCTATACTCCTCCCTCTGCTTCCCCTGCTTCTAGGGTTTTAATTCAATCTCATCACTCTCTTCTCCAATTCAATCCTCCTCCTCGTTGATTGTCCTTCTCACCTTGATCTTAGCTTTCTCCTTCTGGGTTTTGTCTCAGATACACCAAGAGATTGAATTTACCCACCCAATTTCTTATTCAACCCTAAAGGTCAGAACTTTATATTATGTAATTCAATTCCGGAATCAGATTAGACTCTCTTGAGTAAATTTCGATTCTTTGCAATAATTGCTTGGGGATACTTGTCAGAATATGGCAGCTGATCAGAGGAGAAAGAGGATGAACAGTGCCAATGTGATTGGTTTCAGTTCCAGGGAACATTACAGAGCCAAAAGGAAGAAGCTTGATGGTGCTTTGCGTTTGAGAGATCACATTAGTCTTGAATGGGATGGTAACCGGAGAAAAGTGGTTTCTAAGAGGGAACAAGTTGGGTTAAGTTTGAGGCATCTTCGAGAGTTTGTTGACTATGTTCCTCCTAGGAGGAGTCTTTTGGCACAAGTATGTCACGTTCCTCGAGAAATTTTCCAGCTTGAAAGTCTCTCAGGGGTGCTCTCTAGTGAGGTAATACTGTGCATCTGCTTACACCTTTGGGATAGTTAAGTTTTCACCTTTTTATCTTCAATAGGTGTGGTGGAGTTGTCTATCTGATGGCGAAAGAGATTATCTGCAGCAATTCCTCCCTGAAGGAATTGATGTGGAGAAAGTTGTAGAGCAATTGCTTGATGGGGAGAATTTTCATTTTGGAAATCCTTTTCTTGAATGGTTAGTGACAATTGACTTTTTGGATCCATAGAATGAACTCTCTGATTGATTACTGAACCTAAGACAGTGTCTTGGCTTGATATTGTCGAATTGCATAATCTGCTGTCATATCCTAATTATATCCCGTTTAGTTGGTGATGTTTGTCTAATTTATGCCCAGGAAATTCGACTCCATTTGAATGTAAATTTTGGTTTCAGGGGAACAACTGTCTGCTCAGGAAAAGCTCATCCAGATCAAATTGTTTCTCAGGAGGAATGCCTGAGGGCTGCTAAAAGGAGATATTACGCGGATCTAGAGAAATACCATAATGAGTATGTGCAGTTTTTCTCTACTCAAATTACAGGAGCATTTTTTTATGATTGTCCACGTGATTGTAACTCCTCTATCCATTGTTTCTGGTAGTATTATAGACTCTTTGCAGATGTTGAAGGAGAAATGGGAAAGCTGCAAAGATCCAGAGAAGGATGCTGTTAAGATATGGGGGTCAGTGCTTTTAGAATTGTATATTTATAAGGAGAATTGTTAAGAGTGTAATGTAAACAAGAAGTTACATTAGAAAATTGTGTAGCTTGGAGAATAGCATATAGTTAAGCAAGAAATTATGTTGAGCGTGAGTCTAATAGTAATGTATGTTCCTTTCATTGATTCTTTAGGAGATCAAGTGATGGCAATGCACATGTAAATGGTAGCTGCCAGGATCTAAGTGCTGCCTCGGAGTCTAGTTCCTTGAATGCAGATGATAAACCATGCAATAGTGATAGGAGTGGAGAGGTTCAAAGAAGGTGCTTAACATACTCTTTCACATGTATATGCAATTGCTGTTATATACTAAAATTTCCAGTCCATTTTTAGGTCCAAGAGTTCTGGTGTAGAGAAAGAAAAATCTCAAAGTCCCTTGATTGCTTTAGAGAATGTTGTTAACGTGGGAGTGAAAGCTAGAAGAACGGACAAGCTACCCAAACATAGCATTCAGCAAACTGATGGTGCTAAATACATGTCCTACCTTAAGGTTAGTTATAATCCTGCAACTCATTGCTTATTTTAGTTAGTTTATCCGCATGCTGTCATATGGATCTTAACTTGAAGCTGTTTTGGAATCAAACTATTGTGTTATCCTATATGACTTTTGTTTAGTTGAATGTGCATTTCTGGTTCATGTAACAGATATGCTTATTGATCAACCATTTAACTGCATTGTATATATTCAGATAAGCAAGAAGCAACATCAGATTGTCACAAGCATGAAGCAGTCAGGTAAAAGCATTCAGTTGAAAGCACTTAATCGAATCTTGGGTAACATCAACAATTTGGATGTTCAACCATACGGATTGTTTGAGGAAGAAGAACAGAAGAAACTGAACGCTCACTGGTCAGTGTTACTTGTTGAACAAACGACTTCCTTCAATAATGCCTTTAATTATTATTTTTTAACCTCAGTTGTTTCATGTAGGCTGCAACTGGTTAGAGATCTTCCTGCAGCTTATGCAATCTGGAAAATGCTGCAGTCACAGAAACGAGATATAATCAACTCTGTGGGAAGAGAATTAGTAGATAAACTCAATCCGTTGATGGAGGTTTGTTTTCTCTGTAAACATGTATTACATATTGTTTCTGTATTCCCGTGTATTCACGACTTTCTCCGGTACAGGACAAACTACTGCACCCTGCAGAAAATCCTTTGCAGAGGCATGATGTTCAAGTAGACTTGAGAGAGAACGATCAAGAAAGCTTGAATCCAAATCCGAGTGGTGATTTGGCACCGGACGATGAAAATTCTGGAAGTTTTGGTCAAGTTAATGCCAAGAATCACTCCCTTTCAGAGGCTTCTTCGTCTGACGTTGACCAAATCACAGATTCAGGTCACTGCGTCCAAGTTGGTACCTATCCCTCACAGGTTTCCTCACCAGATTGTGACAATGGCAATCGCAAGGATATTGAAGCAAATGATTATTCCAGATCCATACAGAGCCAGTCTCTCCCACAGGCTTCATTTCCTAGTGAGTCCCACCCTTCAGATCTGGAGGATACAATTCCTGTAGGGAAAAACTGTGTACCAGAGGTGGAGAATGCTACGTCAGACGAGAGGATTCCTTGTAATACTTCAAGCCATGGAGAAGAGTTGCAGTTTCTTTCTGGTGGAGATGTGTGGCAACCAGTGGGAGGAATTAGGCAGTCCTACATTGGCCGCCAAGCTTACACCCCCAGTGGTGGTTTATCAATCATACACCATCCTGAAGGTGGCGAAGAAGAGAAAAACTGTTTCGTACACCTTGAATCAGACATGCCTGAAGAAGTTGATAGAAGGAAGATGTTGCAGCGGAAAGCAAACAACAGTTTTGGTTCTTTCCCTAACAACAACCAAAATGAGCTGCTCCAGACTCTATTTAAAGGCCAAGGTGTGGCATCTCGTACCACTGAGCAGCTTCACTCTCTTCTTAATGTCCCGCTTAACGAGGAGCATAACCAAATTATGAACGTTGGTTGTCAGCAGGAAGGACGCAACAGTCTGATGGAGGGCAGTCAACTTCCTGGTCAGTTCCAGCATCAGATGACTGCACCACAGGCACTGTCTCAGGACCAGCAAAGACAGGTTGATATCTATGGCCAAGGAAGCATGTCAGAGAACATTTATTCCGATGGACGTGGATTCTTGATGCAGCGGTCGGACTGGAACCCCAGTGTTTCTCAGATTGGAATCACCACACAGTCCCTGTTGAACACTGGCGCTTCGTTAAATCAGAACTGGCAATTTAAGAGCATGTGGACAAACACAAACGGTGTTGGATGTGCAAACCAAAGCAGTCATACTGGGACGACCGAGAGAGAGCTGAACCTTCTCGGAGCAACTACTAACGCTGAGATGATCATTCAAAGGGGAATGAGCTCAGATCAAAGCTTATTCTCTGTTTTCTCTCAGTGCAGTCAATTACGCGGCTCCAGATCTGCTTTTGAGCCAGAAAGTTCGAGTGATCAAGTGGTTGCATCCGGTAACTACGAAATGCTGATGGGGGGAGGCACAACTCATGTAGGCAGCAGTTTGGCTCAGCCTACGAACCCGCTTGATTACTTGAGCGGTAGCAACCCGGTAACATCTTTGATGCCAGAGGATGTAACGTGGATGAACAACCAGAGTCGACAAAACCCTGGTCTCCATGACCCACTAGGCAAGCTGTATCCAAGGTCATGGAATCCATAACCATGTTTTTGAAGTTTTGCATTACAGAAGACGCACATGGTTATGGTTATCTTTAAGATATACAAAACCCAACATGGGTTTCATTTTTATTTATTTATCTGTGCCTGTACATAGAAAGATACAAAGGAACGTTTGTTTTGTACATATTTAGGTTTTGAGAGCGGACTAGGACAAAGATTGAGGATACTTCAGCCACCTTTTTATTTGATTTTTACATTCTCCTTTCACCTTCTCTCTCAAGTTACTGAATGTTCACTTCCTTTTACATAAGTGTTGGACCGTTCTCTAATAAATACTGGCATCATGAATCCAACAAATTATGAACTTTCATTAACTAATATAGTGATATGAATCATCTGATATATGTTGTCTATTTACACCATCTTCAGTGATCTCTAAACTCTATTTTATATTAAAGAAATATGGTTGAAGATGCTCTAAGTACATAATATTCAGACGTAGGTTTTCAGATCTTACTTCTTCGTATGAATACTAGTTAACTGATCGGTCATTAATGACACAGCCAGAAAAGAAAAATCCAGGTCCATACACTTCACACTAAATAAATTCTTCATTAGTTATTGCATTACATATATCATGATAAATTTTTTAAAAAAGCATAATAAAGACACGATACTGAGAAGTATAGGTGTAGGTTGGTAGGCATATAGATAGAAAGAGATGTGTTCAAACTTCAAACAGGAACGCTGTGCAAGACAACAGTCTCTACAGTGAGACCAGGTCCGAAACCAAACAAGACACCCCACTCCAAACCTTCACCCGTCGTAGCCACACCATCTTTAGCAGACTTCCTCCTCATCTCATCCAATATAAACAGAACACACGCGCTAGACATGTTCCCATACTCGCTCAACACATGACGTGTGGCTCTCATCTTCTCAGCCTTAAGTCCAAGCTTCTTCTCAACATCATCAAGAATCGCTGGACCACCAGGGTGAGCTATCCAAAATAACGAGTTCCAGTCACTTATCCCGAGCGGTTTAAACGCTTCTTCAAGACTCTTCTCTATGTTCTTGGAGATGAGGCCAGGGACATCTTTCAAGAGATGGAAAGTGAGTCCCACTTCCCTCAAGTGTCCATCTATGGCTCCATCCGAGTCAGGAAGTATGGTCTGCGCAGCAGACACCATCTCAAAGATTGGCTTCTCTCCCACGGAAGCATCAGGGTCCGAACCAACAATAAGCGCCGCGGCTCCATCACTGAAGAGAGCTTGCCCAACGAGGGAGTCAAGGTGAGTGTCAGAGGGACCACGGAAGGTAACAGCAGTGATCTCAGAGCAGACAACGAGCACACGTGCGCCACGGTTGTTCTCAGCGAGGTCCTTGGCGAGTCTGAGGACAGTGCCGCCTGCGAAGCAACCTTGCTGGTACATCATGAGACGCTTCACCGAAGGACGAAGACCAAGGAGCTTGGTGAGCTGGTAGTCAGCACCAGGCATGTCGACTCCTGAGGTTGTGCAGAAGACAACGTGTGTGATCTTGGACTTAGGCTGACCCCACTCCTTAATGGCCTTCACTGCTGCATCCTTGCCTAGCTTAGGGACTTCAACAACCACGATGTCTTGTCTAACATCGAGAGAAGGAGCCATGTAGGCGCACATGTTTGGATTCTCTTTCAAGAACTCTTCGGTTAGGTGCATGTGTCGTTTCCGTATCATTGACTTGTCACCTGTTATAGTACCAATCAAGTTGTTAACTAACTAAGTAACAGAGTTGGTTCAGCACATAACCAAATGAAACATTTGTCTCAACCCCAAAATTTTAAGAAAATAAGAGATCTTCAAAAAGACTTCTATTTTAGAGTTTTCAAAAATTTTATATTGAAAGTTTAAAAGTGTTTTTCTCCAAAATAGCTTCAAAATTATTTGTATTTTATACTATGATGCTTATATTTGTAATAACTAATTCAAATTCATATAACTTTTATAAATAACTAGCACACATATGAAAACATTACAGTATTACTAATTAATAAAATACTAAAATATAAAATTCTGAATAAAATATATAATTAAATATTAAACTATAAAAATACCACATTAAGTCTTGTAATAAAACTATTGTCTAGTTCTACTTTTGAAATATTTAAATCTTATCTTCATGTTTTTAAAAATATTTTATGATTAGAATTTAAATTTATAAAAACAATTTTAAATATTTATGCGAAGAAATTTCAAAGATTAAAATGATAAACAGAAAAATATTTAAGTTGTGGTGTGTAATTTGTAAGGTCTAAATACAAATAAAAATATGAAACTTCAAATTTGAAATTTTGAATAGTAACATTCTATATTTGAAATTTCAAAACAGTGTTAGTGTTTTTTTTTTTAAAAGCAGAAAAATCCATATATGAAGTTATAAAGTATCTTTTTGAGATTCTCTAATATAACATCAACATAAGTTTTGAAAAATTATTTTTTAAAAAATATTTAACACACTTAATAGATGTCTTACGGTTTCTAAAAATTCAGAGTTAGTCCTGCTAAGTAATCTGAATCATAACAAATTAAAGATTATTAAAAACATTACACATGCGCTTGAACTTCTCCTTGAGGTCAGTCATGTGTTCACTGTTAGTGATGCGGAAGTAGTAGTCTGGATACTCCGCTTGGATCACATGGTTCGCAGGGTTGGCTGTGCCTATAGCCAAGATACCTGCGGGGCCATCAGCTCTTTGTGCCTTTCTGATCTCATCCAACGAAGAAGGCGTACCCATCACCATGTTACACGAACTAGGTTTTTAGTAGACTTTGAACTATGTGTGAGGTTGTGTACTATGCAAGTTCTGTGTATATATTTAGAATTAGCAAACGGTGAGTGAGATTATATAACAAGGTAGACAAAGGAGTGTGGTAGGTTGAATGGACGGGCAGATGAAACATTACGTGTTTTGTCTGTTAGGTCTCTTTTGTGTGGTTCTCTTTATTGCTTCCCTTTTATTTCGTTACTTACCAAGAAAATTGAATGGTTGGTCACTTGGGGTTTTATTTATTTTTACGTATATTCACAACAAGAAGACATGTTTATTTAGATGTTTGTATTTATTGTATTATTCGATGTGTACATTAAAGGATACGGCAGCTAGTCAGCTACGAGGAGTTAGGTGTGTGTATTTTCTCCACCATACTTCTTTCACATGCATACTTAACTCCATCACTTAATCTAACTTTCCTCCATCATTTACTTTTCAGAGCCTTTGCTTGTTCTAAGTTTAGTAACTTCAATAACACCACTTATTGGTTATCTTGGACTTAATTCATATGTTTCTTAGGGTTACAAAAAAAAAAATTGCGGCCCTTATTAATAAAATGGCTTTCTAAACAAATTTTGGTTCATCTTATGTCACCAAACCATCATTCCATAAATGATATTTAGAATTGAACCAAAAAAAATAATACAGTGAAACCTCTATAAATTAATAATGTTAGGACAACACGAAAAGATTACTTTTTTTATTAATTTAGAGAAATATTAATTTATAGATATACTAATTGAACCAAAAACTCAATTTGGGACTATAAAATTATATTAATTTATAGAGATATTTAATGTATATTAATTTATCGAGTATTAATTTATAGAAGTTCTACAAGTTTTTTCCTCCCCCACCCATCATAATTAATAACATCTGAATTAGTTTGATAAAAAAAAATCTGAATTAGTTAGCTGAGTTTAAAATTCAGCGCTTATGTACAAGCCATAACTGGATAAAAATCTTGATAGAGTGTTTGTAGCTTTGCTCAAAAAAACAGAGAGAGTGTTTGTAGTCTCTTCTAGCTAATGTAATCTCATCTTAGATTCAAATCTAACTTACTTCTCTCGGGAATATATATAAGATCGAATCATTTCTAAAACGGATTAAGAACACCGTCATCACCAAAGGTATTACATCAGAGTTTGTCATTAACATTTCCAGTATAATTTATTCTAATTCCTTCCAGTTTTTAAGCTCTTTATCTACTATGATTGATTTATTCTTTCCATGTTTTCATTTTTATTTTTTTCACATGAATTACTTTTATAAATTTATGAAATATTAAGTTTAAAAAAATTTAACCACACAAGTGAGTAACATATGGATTTTTATTTATTTCTGAATTGATTTTCATAATCTAGAAGAAAAAGAATCTGCTTAGTTTTAATTTGATGTGTTTAAATAAGTAACCCACGTTAAAAAGAACAAGTAAAACCAGTGGGCTTCAAAAACCTAATATGGGCTTCTAAGCCACACACTTAAGGCCCATAACATCATCACTGAGAATAATGAGACGGAAGTTGAACGTCGACGAGTGCGTGACGACGGGATGCAAACCGGCAACTGCTTCCGATGCAATCAAAACGGCCACTGGATCATCGATTGCCCTCTCAAATCCAAATCCAATGATGATCCTCCTCCACCGTGGATCCACTGCCCTTGCGGCGGAGGTCTCTGCGATATCAAACTCTCGAACACTCACGAGAATCCCGGAAGAAGATTCTACAAGTGCCCTGCTGTTCGTAACCTCCAACTTCCTTAACGATTCCATCGAATCAAAACGCGAATTTCATTCTCACTAACTAACGATTTGAATTTTTCTCAGGCTCAGAAGTGTACATTCTTCAAGTGGTGTGACAAAGTAACTGAAGAAGATATCAGATTCCGCCCTGATTTCACTATCCCTGATTGCCCCTGCGGTTCTGGACCTTGCCGGAGATCCGTATCCGGTTCAGGACCCGATGCGGGTCGAGCTTACTTGCAATGCGGCGTCAGGAAGGTTTTGATTTGATCCAATTAAGATTTTTTTCTAATTTCTTTTATTTTGTATATCTAAATTTAATAAATGATTAAAATTAGATATACAAAATAAAAGAAATTAGAAAAAAAATTGTGTACTTAGTTTTAATAGATTTTGTACTAATCTAAATTGATTTTAGGGCTTTTATTGAGTGTATGGTTTAAGAAAGATTGTGTGTTTTAGGGTTTTGGGGCGTGTGGGTTCTTTAAGTGGGTGGATGATGTAGCTGATGAGGTGGATTTTTGGGTGGAAGCTGATTTAGTTTTGAGTGATGTGGAAAGCAGCTTCCTTGCTGCTGCTGGTGTACCGGAGAATGCAGAGGATGATTCCTCTGTTTCTGATGTACATTCTGCTGCTGGTGTGAACCAAGGTGATGATTTAGTTATATACAAAGTTTGATTCTTTTTTAGAAGTATTGTTGTGCTGGGATGTACTCTCTCATGTTGTTTATTAGGTGTCCTTATGTATGATACGGCTGTGATTGAACCTGGAGAGAAACTACATGGTGATTGTGCTGTTTCCAAGCTGAGTGTGGATGAAGCAACGAGTTGTTTGGGGAGAGATACTACTGTCTCTAATGGTTCTGTTGCGAAACGTGAGATGACATGCTATGAGCAATTTGGTGAAGCTGAGTGGTCATTCCCCAATTTGGAGGACCTGATGGAGCAATACAACTCAGAGAAGGTTCAGTTTGAGAGTATTTCAGGGAAACATGCACAAGTGTTGAGTGCGTTTATGAGTTCATACAGTCGATTAAGGATTCTCCATGAGAAAACTAGTCATCTGAGGAAGTTGTTAGTTGAGACGGAGAAGGAGATGGCTTGTTGCGAGGCTGAGACGTTAGAGCTTGGAACGAATTGCCGGGAAGTGGCTGGAGAAATGGCTGACTCTCAGAATAGGATGCAGGTGATGGCAGTGATACTAGGAGATGAAGTGGAAGCATTGAAGCAGAAAGAGTTCGCTGTTATGAAGAGGAGAAGAAGATGCTGATGCTTGAATGTGAGTGTCTTTGTAAGTGTAGGAATGTAACTATCACTTGTTACACTTATTTTTTAACCAGATAATTAATGAACTTGTTTTAACTCCTTAAATCCAACACTTTCAACTATAGAATATCAATATTATACAAACTAGTAATATCAATAACTTATACAAACTAGTAGTTGGATTAAGGGATAAGTTGATTTTCAGGTTTAGATGAGCCAAAAGCGGTTGAGAATTGTGAATCTACATAGTGCGCTCATCACATTGTCGCTTGATTAAAAGAGTAATTAGATTTAGACAAGACAAAAGATAATTGAGTAGGTAATCATTAGAAAAAGGTTTAGTTATGTTAACCGTCCAAGAGAGTGCCTTAATGCCTTTCAACGTTGGGCGCACATGCCTTCTCTTCTTTCTTGCTTGCCTACTAAAACACCATTACAGGCCCAAACCCACAGATACTTGATCATCAGTACTTACATGGTAGATATTACCACATTGTAATGAATCAAGAGAGTATTAGTTTTGAAATACAACTAGAAAAAGGATCAAAGAAGGTGAAACGAAAACAAGATTCAATGTATCAAGATTGGAATTAGAATATAAACTAAAGGAAACAAAATGAAAGTTGGTCAAAAGGGAGAACATAAAATGATAGGACTTGGTTTCTCCAATCAATTTAAGATTAAATTATGAAATTCAAAAGCATGAAAGATTGCTCACATGCAACCCAAATTCCTTTGTTCTCAAGTCAATAATGCATGTTTATAAACTAGTATAGAGCAAACGAATTTGAATGGATTATTTTTTGTCAGAATATATATTAAGAAAACTAATTTAGGAAGAGGCTATATTATATGAAACAAACAAGTAAACGTTAAGGATTAGAAATGGGAGAAGAGAAAGGGTGTGCCCTATAAAACTTGGGGCACATGCATCACCCGTTATTGTTTCTGATTATTCTCTAGTTTATTAACACCCACTTTTGGATTATTGTACATGTAGACTACTGGGACTATATTAAAAGAGAGATTAAGATATATGCGATCCACCATCACCGTCCCTAACGTTGGTCGTGTAGCCATACATAAATGTTCTTTGGTCCTCTTCTTCTGACAAAATAAGATCGTCTTAGAAAGTGAAGGCTACCACTTGCTTCCTTAGATACTCTCGTATCAAATATGTGATACAGAATCTTTCTCAAAGACATTCTCTTTAATTTGCGTTAGTCAAAAGTCAAAACCCAGACACTGAATAATTAGTTTTACTAGATTAAATACTCATAAAAAGAAGATGCTTAAGTAATGACTTCATGTCATGATACCCATGATTAAGTCGACTACCATCCATCATGCGGTCATCATTGCACCTTTTCTCCCAATTGTTAATTATAAATTAAAACACCAAACTCATTGTTTTTATGTGTTGTATGATTGATAAGAGGGAAACTGTGTCCGTTTCATGAAAAAAGTAAAGGGTTGCTTCTCTTTTTTTTTCTCTGGAAAGTGTTTAATTACAATCGCAGTTTATGCATATTCCACATCATTTAACTTGGACCATCACATGCAATAGAATTTAGACTCGCTCTAGAAAAATAGTCTCCGACTTTAATAGTTTACTACAACCGACTAGTTATTTATCTATAATTTTTGTCTATCTATCAACGGCGAGATCATATTATTAGACACGTAAAGTTGGTAGCTAAGGTAACATGCTAATCATGGCTCTCTTAACCTGCTAACTCACTATTAAACATGTTGTTTTTTTTTATGTTGATAAAAAGTATTTTTAATGATATTTTCCTTGTTATTTGTTCACTCTCGATTTTAACAAAATAAAACTCTTATGTACTAAATGGTTTAGTTAGTGTACTACCAGAGCCAGTCTTCGATCTAAACATTAGATTTGAGCAGAATCATTTATGAAATCACTAGTGTTCAATCCTTTGAGAAATGCATGAAACATGCTACCAAGTGGCAAATCATTTGATAGTTATATAATTGATATATCATAGGTCACAATAACTCAACGGCAATGCTATTTTAAAAATATGAAAGATTTAAAAATTCATAGAATATGAAAAGATGGAGAAAATGAAAGGTGCAGCTCTTATATAAAAAGGTTCCGAAAGGGATAACCAACACACACTCCTCTCATTTCTCTTCTCCTCAACTAGAATAAAGAATCTAAACCGGATATAGAACTATGAACACATCGAAGAGCAAGAAGAAGCAAGAAGAAGTTGGTACAAGGTTTCTTGGGGTAAGAAGAAGGCCTTGGGGAAGATACGCAGCTGAGATAAGAAACCCAACTACAAAGGAGCGTCACTGGCTTGGCACTTTTGATACAGCCGAGGAAGCTGCTTTGGCCTACGATAGAGCAGCTCGGTCCATGCGTGGCACTGGTGCTCGAACCAACTTTGTCTACTCAGACATGCCTCCTTCCTCCTCCGTCACCTCCATTGTTTCTCCAGACGATCCTCCTCCTCCTCCTGTTGCTCCTCCTACTTGTTCAGACGATCATGTCGATTACATGACGATGTTTAACCAATATTCATCCACAGACTCTCAAATGCGGCAGCCTGAATACTCTGACCAAGTGGAGTACAGTGGTTACATGTTTGGTGATTCTAACAGCACCTGCGAGTTGCCTCCTCTGCCGAGTGATTTGTCAAGTTCTTGTTACAGCCAACAACCATGGAACGTGGAAGACTTCTCCTCAGCTAACTATTTCGAGGGTGAGTACGTCCACAGCCCTATGTTCAGTAGAATGCCTTCGGTTTCTGACTCTCTGCCTCATGGTTTCAACTACTTCGGGTCATATATATAATTAATCATTAACATCTTTTCATTCATATTTAAATTCTTTTTACATTTGTTTCCTTTTCGTATTTTATTATGTTTCTGTGTTTATTCGTCCTTGGTCTCTGTCTATGATCAAAGTGACTGTTTGACTTTTTTTTTTAATAAGAAGTTACCCCATTGTATTTTAAGTCTTAAATAGGACTAGGCAAATAAACCGAACCCAAAAATCCGAACCGAATCCAACCCGATAAAAATGAATCTGAACCGGTCCAAATCTGATTAGTATCCAAAACCAAAACTATTTCGGGTTCAACCGGATCTTGTAGTTGTACATATATCTAAACTCAAACCGAATTCGACCCAATTTTTATAATATCCGAATGGGCTAAAATTAATGAACCCGAAAACTTGAAACCCGAATGAACCCAAACCGAAATCGATTAGAACTCATGCTAGGCCTAGTCTTCTTAACCAATGGAAAACAAAGTATATCTTCTTGTCCTTTACAAATTCACATGCATATTATACATGGGCCTTAGAATTCAAAGGCCCCATTCATGAAGATGCCTTATGGGCTATGGCTTGACATAACATACTATGTTTTTTTTTTTTTGTCAACACATACTATGTTTATCCTATGTTTATACTATTGCTGATGACATACTACATTTGTGTTTTTCTTCGGCTGTATATATGCTGATGTAATCCGAAATATTTCGGGTGTGACTGGTAACCATAATAGGAATAGCATGAATGGATATGAAATGAATGAGTAGGAATCAAATTTTAGGAAGGAAGAGGAATAATGATTCCTTATCAAAATAAATAAGGAATGAATTTGTTCTATAATTCTCTACAACCAAAGGAATGAGGAGGAATGGGAAAAAAAATCTATTCCTCATGAATGGTAAATTTTTTAAGGAATGTTAAGTAATGTAGTGTTCCTCTTCGTTCCCTTGGTCACCATTCATACCCTTCATGTTTGACATATACTAATTCAAAAGGCCGACTAGTTAATCAAGAAAACTTGCGTAACTCAGATCCTATCCCCTCCAGTCATGTGCTGTTATAGGCCCAAACTTAGGCCCAGATGTACATGCACGCTTCGATAATTTGAAATCTTGAGTACGTGTGGGAAGGGGAGTGGTGAAAACCTCCTTAGTGGTTAAGTCATGGAGAAAAAAAAAAAGAAAAAGTTTAAACAATCAAATGAGAGCTTGAAACGGCCAAAAAGCAACGTTATGGTGGTGGTGCGAATATTTTTGTGTATTTTTCACTCTTTTTATTGCTGAAAGCTACATTTGTCACAAGACATTGTTTCCGTAAGTCACATAATCTACTACTTTCTTTGTTAACAATTATATATATCTACTCTAGAAACACCGAGACAGAGTATGAGTACATTAGATTCACGCAAGTTCTTCTTGGTGTTTGGTCAAAACATATTGAGACCTGTCTGAAGATCTTTCTTTCAGACATTATACAACAGAAAAAGGAGGCGCGCGAATATGATAAATAGCAAAAGGCAACAAAAGATAAATTAAAGAGAGACAAAAAGTAAAGCGTTTTAGCCTCAATCAACGGGAACGTATCTTAATTTATGAGGTTCTTCTTTCTTTTTACTTTTGACACCAAGAGTTTGCAGCAATGGTTGACTAATTATGCATGGGAACTGAAGTAATTTTTCACACCTTCATATTTGTCAATTTTACACTTTCAGTTTTTCCTTTAGGTTTGAAATAATAAAATGCCAATAAAAACACTAATTTAAAATGATAAAATTATGGTTTTGAATTGTGTTGAAAGAAAGAATGAATTGAGACAAACGAGGAGTGTGGTCCCAGGATGATTTTGAATTGTGATAATCTAAACCATAGATGCATTGCCACGTGTCAACCTAGCTTTATAGATTTCCTTAGCCATCACCATTATTGTGATTGTTGTATAAATGTAACCCTACATTCATCTATCCCATTTTCTATAGAACCTTTTTTCACAACACAAAGATATATACAAAACATAAAATAATGAAGAAGGTAGCAGAATTCGTGAAGGATATAGTAAACATGTTAAAGAGGAAGACAAGAGCCTTTAAGACACGCCTTGTTATATTCTCGCTGCTCCACGACAGAAACATGATGGTGAGTTCGTGGTCTCACAAGCTTAAGGCCAAACCAACATCAAGAAAGCTAGATGATGGTGGTAAGGTTCATGAACAAGATCAAAACATGGTGGTTGTTTATAGTCACAACGCCATGTCCAGCACTCCTGCTGCCTCTCCAAAATATGTACAATATTCGGAAGAAGAAGATGAGGGAGAGTATCCAGACCTGAGGCACTCTCTTTTTGAGGCAGAGGGTTCGGTGATAGACATGGTGAAACATTCTAAAGAGAACAAGGGAGAAGAGTTTAAGTTGGAAGACGAGATCGACAAAGTGGCTGATCTTTTTATTTCAAGGTTTCACCAACAGATGTGGTTGCAGAAGCAAATCTCTCTAGAGAATATTCAAGATACACCATGATTCCAATATTTTTTAGATTTTGCTTACGTTTTGTGAAATGAAAAATGGGACGTACACATCATGTTTAATAATTTTCAACATGTATTTAACAACGTCCCCTCTATATCTTCATGCCCCTTGACCAATAATATACAGTTTTTTCTCTTGTTATTGTTGTTTATCTTTGACAAAAAGAAGTTATTGTTGTTTATGTAAAGTATTAGTGAGCACCACATCATCGAAGCACTTTGATTACACTATAACGACCGTTATGTATATTTTCAGCTCATTAAACCCAGCTTAAGGCCCATTCAAGAAAAGCACACGGTGAATTGCATATGATGCCTTCTTTTAATCATGTGATTATGTCTCTAGACCCTTTCTTGAAATTTGAACCTTTTTTTTTTGTTTGTTTCTCCCCAAATATTTCTCCTACTATCTCTCTACTGGTTCATTCTGTGGTTACTCTCCATCGTGACATGTTCCCAATTTTTAGGTCAGTTTGGATTGTAAATGGAAAGATTATCAGGAAACTAGAGTCAAATTGTGTTTGTTTATTATGTTCATCAGCCCATAGATCTAAAAAAGTTAAAAGGATCCAAAGATGCATTAATTAGTGAGAACATGGAGATGCGAGGGTCTTATTATCATCATGTCAGCATAAGACTAGTCAGTCCATGTGCATCCGCAACACTCCCTTAAGTTACTAACAAAGACTGTTGCAAACATTGAACGTAACCCCAAAGTGCTTAATAAATTAAATAACCGATATGTTAAGCCTAGCTACCTAGCTGATATGGCTATAAATGGAAACGTATGCACAATGTTTGTTTGGTGCAATGAGAGTGAGAATGGGTCGTCTTCCACTTACTCTTTGCCTCTCCTTTCTGCTTATGGCTACGGTTTCATTTGGTGTACCTCCTAAAAAGTCTATTGATGTTCCTTTTGGCAGAAACTATTTTCCCACTTGGGCTTTTGATCACATTAAGTATCTCAAGGGTGGTTCTGAAGTGCATCTCGTCCTAGACAAGTACAGTGGTGAGTTTATTTGCCTTCTTTAAATGTTTCTCTAACATAAATGTATCTAAATCCTTTTCTCTGATCAGGGCCGGTCCTAGACCAAGCGTAATGAAACATTCAAACATTCGCTTAGAGTCTCCAAATATTTTGAAAAAAAGAATAGTGAAATAGACCCCAAAATTTATAAAAAAGATCTCCATATTTGTAAAAAAAAAAATTCTATTAAAAGTTTTATTAAGTAGGCTAAAACCCCCCAAAATCTCAGGCCATACCTCTCATTGTTCTTGTTGAATGCACAACAGGTACTGGCTTTCAGTCAAAAGGTTCCTACTTGTTTGGCCACTTCAGTATGCACATAAAGATGGTTCCTGGGGATTCTGCTGGAACTGTGACCGCCTTCTATGTAAGTGAAAGTCCTTTACTAAATTATCAAGAGCATCTTTTAAGTTTTCAACTGATAAATGTTTGCTTTTTTTTTTTCCTTGCAGTTGTCATCACAAAACTCAGAACATGATGAGATAGACTTTGAGTTCCTAGGGAACAGAACCGGCCATCCTTACATTTTGCAGACAAACGTGTTTACAGGAGGCAAAGGAAACCGAGAGCAGAGGATCTACCTCTGGTTTGACCCTTCCAAGAACTATCATTCCTATTCAGTTCTCTGGAATATGCATCAGATTGTGTAAGTCAACAACATTTCTCAAACTGTAGTCTCTACTCTAAGGCAACCCCTAAGATTTTGGTGGCAAATTTAATAAATTTCAATTAATTTTTCTTTTGTGCAAATTTAGAGTCTATGTCTATAATTTTTCTTTAAAAATTTTTCATTTGATTTTTCCTGAACCAGCCATGTCTACTATAAGAAGATTCCAAAGCTAAGTGTATAGTTTGTAACAACAGGTTCTTTGTAGATGATGTACCAATAAGAGTGTTCAAGAATAGCAAAGACATTGGGGTGAAGTTCCCATTCAACCAGCCAATGAAGATATATTCAAGTCTATGGAATGCAGATGACTGGGCAACAAGGGGAGGGTTAGAGAAGACAAACTGGAAAAATGCTCCTTTTGTTGCCTCCTACAAAGGCTTCCACATTGATGGTTGTGAGGCTTCAGTAAATGCTAAGTTCTGCGAGACGCGAGGGAAACGTTGGTGGGATAAAAAAGAGTTTCAAGACTTGGATGCTAACCAGTACAAGCGTCTCAAATGGGTTCGTAAGAGATACACTATTTATAACTATTGTACTGACCGTGTTAGGTTTCCTAAGCCTCCTCCTGAGTGCAGTAGAGATCGTGACATTTAGTGGTTTTCAGACATCATCTTTAACATTTCTTTACTTTTTTAAATGTGTACTCTACTTTAATTGTTTTCAACGGTATTTGTGATGTAATAACGTAGCTTCATCAGATGCATTTGGACACTAATTTATGAACAGAAGAGGCTAAAAAAACAAGACAAAATTTGGGGCTCAAGCAAAAAGTACATGAAAATTGCAAATTCACGCCGTCTGTGGGGATCGAACCCACGGCCACGGGATTAAAAGTCACGCGCTCTACCACTGAGCTAAGACGGCTTTGTTGATTAACTGTAACTTGTTTAGAAATATATACGTACGTATGAACACATCGTTTGCTCCAAGAATTTGACCGTTGGAGCAAGAACACCAAATCAGTAGTTATCCATATAAGACAGACACACTGTTCCATAAATCGCTGTAATAAAATTTAATGAGAACACTATTTTTAGGTATAAATTAAAAAGAAAACAAAAAAAAAGGCACCCAGATAACGACGCTCCCTACATTATATAAGTGATCTCTACTCCCACCACTAGAATTTGACCGTTGGAGAAGAAGAACATCTCTCTCTTTTGCAAAAGAGGAAAAAAATAATTTAAAGCTTCTTCTGCAATCTTCTCCTTCTGTTGATTTTTTCTTTTATATCTCTCAATCACACAGACCAAAATCAAATCACAATCAAACTGAGAAATGGAATCACCACAGAAAACGAAAACCGGTTTAAACCTCCCCGCGGGGATGAACCAAACCTCCTTACGTCTCGAGACATTCTCAAGCTCGTTCCGGGGGATCTCAACTCTCTCCTCACCTTCCAAATCAACCTGCAGCGACAGATTCATCCCTTGCAGATCGTCCTCGAGGCTCCACGCGTTCGATCTGCAGGATAAGGAGCCTACGACGCCGGTTAAAGAGGGAGGGAACGAAACGTACTCGAGACTTTTGAAATCTGAGCTTTTCGGATCTGATTTCGTTTCTCCTTTGTCTTCTCCTGCAGGTGGTCAAGGATCTGCGTCTTCTCCTATGAGTCCGTGTACTAGTAACATGTTGAGGTTCAAGACTGATCGGTCGAATTCGAGTCCTTGTTCTCCGTTCTCTCCTTCGATTTTGGGGAATGATAATGGTTTGTCTAGTGACTCTTCTCCGCCTCCTAAGCCGCCTCGCAAGGTTCCTAAAACTTCTCATAAGGTATATATACATTCCATGTGTATGGTTACAGAGGCGGTAGGACGGAACATTTTATCGGTTAAATTTGATTCGATATATTATTTGTTTCAATGTGGTATGGTTACAGACTTGTAGACAACCGTCCTTACTAGGGCGGAGCATTTTATCTGTTAAATTTGATTCGATATGTTTATTTGTTTTGATGTGGTATGATTACAAACTTGTAGGCCAGTTCTTACTAGGAGTGTACATTTTATCAGTTAAATTTGATTGGATCTGTTATTTGTTTCGATTTGATAATCAGAATATTCTTACTCATTAGTATATTGGAATGAAACATTAACCTTAGAATTCTAAAGAACTAATATACAAAGTTAGTTTTGGTGGATCCTAAATTGTGAAAAAAATATGAAAAACCTCCAAAATGTTCTGAAAATTTGTATTTGGCCGTGTTCGTTCCCATGTGGCTTAGAACTACGATTTGCGACTAGTCGTAGGTTGCAGCAACATCGAAACCAACATGGCCTAACTCTCAAAATTTTAGGACCGGCCTTTGTTACATATTCTTGGGAGGTGGAAATGAAATATTGTTTGTTTGTTTTGATTGTCTTAGGTATTGGATGCACCTTCTTTACAAGATGACTTCTACTTGAACGTTGTGGACTGGAGCTCACAGAATGTTCTTGCTGTGGGGCTTGGTACTTGTGTTTATCTCTGGACTGCTTCAAATAGCAAAGTGAGTTTTTCAACCTTGACTACTACTTTTTAATGCATAAATGTTATTTTGTGTGGTGGAGGGATTGAACTGTGTGTTTATGATGGGTCAGGTGACGAAGTTATGTGACCTGGGACCTAATGATAGCGTGTGTTCGCTTCAGTGGACACGTGAGGGTTCATATATATCTGTCGGTACAAGTCATGGTCAGGTTCAGGTGTGTTGTTTTGTTACCTTTCAATCTGTGATTGTGGAAAGTTTTAATTGGTTGCAATGAAGTTAAGGAAAAAGGTTGATTTTGTGTTGGCAGGTTTGGGATGGAACACAGTGCAAGAGAGTTCGAACAATGGGAGGTCATCAAACGAGAACTGGTGTCTTAGCATGGAACTCAAGGATCTTATCCTCAGGGAGTAGAGACAGAAACATCCTCCAACATGATATCCGAGTCCAGAGTGACTATGTCAGCAAGCTGGTAGGGCACAAATCTGAGGTCTGTGGGCTGAAATGGTCTCATGATGATAGGGAGCTTGCGTCTGGAGGCAACGATAATCAGGTTATTTTGAAGCCTAAGCTATTCATAGATTAGAGCCACTTAACTTCTTTGAAGCGTATCATACTAAGAAACTTTCTTTACTTTTGAAACAGTTGTTAGTGTGGAACAACCATTCACAACAACCTATTCTGAAGCTGACAGAGCATACAGCAGCGGTTAAGGCGATTACATGGTCTCCTCATCAGAGCAGCCTTCTTGCTTCAGGAGGTGGAACTGCAGACAGGTGCATTAGATTCTGGAACACGACAAACGGACATCAGTTAAACAGCATTGACACTGGAAGCCAGGTCTGCAATCTGGCGTGGAGCAAGAATGTTAATGAGATAGTGAGCACTCATGGATACTCTCAGAACCAAATCATGCTCTGGAAGTATCCATCCATGGCAAAGGTACTTAGTCTTTTCTACACTTGAAATCCCATTTCTTGATCTTTTCTATCTTCTAAACTGATGATTGTTTTGTGTAGGTTGCAACGCTTACAGGACACAGTATGAGAGTACTATACTTGGCTACATCACCTGATGGACAGACTATAGTGACTGGAGCAGGAGATGAGACCCTAAGGTTTTGGAATGTCTTCCCTTCAGTGAAAATGCAGGTTTGTATTCCTTCTTATTAGAATCAGATCTTGTAGCTGGTGGTTTCTGGTCAGTTGATTGATGACTAGTTTTTATGTTTGCAGACACCGGTGAGGGACACAGGCCTCTGGTCATTAGGGAGGACACAAATTCGATAACAGTCATGTTCTTCAACCTTTAAATTTGTTATTTTCATTATTGTGTATGAGAGAGGAGACATATACTATTGCACAGAGAGACAGATAGAGAAGCTGCAATGTAATCCGCAAAATATGCATTCTATTTATTTTATTCTTTTCTGATCATTTCTAAACTATAAAAGAAAAACAAGAGGTGCCATTTTGAATGAAATGTTTTTTTTGTTTGTTTGTGAGTGAAAACCCTTGCAAATCAAGTAGATTTCTTGAGATGATGATCTTGTAAGCTTTTGGCGTCTAGAACTAAAAGGAACAGTAAACATTTTTGTAAGCATCATTTATTTAATTGTATATGAGTCATTGCTAGCTTGTTACTCTAAGCAACCTTGCTTTCTAGAAGTTTGGTGACGAGATGACCCCAGTGCCTAAGCACACCGAGGTCAAGAACAGAGGAGACGTGACTTGATAAGCTTATACTGTTTTTGAATCTGTAGGAGCTGTAGTTGCAGAGAGAGAGAGAGAGACAAGAATCGATGTATAACCTATATAGCGTATAGAATTGATAAAAGGAACTCGACGTTAAAAAGTCACAGTGCTATAGATTGAATGATGATTGACAAATTAAAAATGTTTATGTATTACAAATAAATAAATGAATGTATTCAAATTCAAGGACCTACCACGAATACCATATTACAGAATGAAATCAATTAGAAACTGAAATGAACAGATGTAACTTACAAGTAACCAAAAGTAAGTCATGTTCTACCAATAATGATTAAAAATCTCAAGTCGGAAAAAAATGAATCATACTATGCTTCTGTTGTTTTGCCTTTGTACAGTTGCCCCACATTGCTTCCTTAGTCTTCAAGTGAAAGTTATTGTAATTACCTTTCTCCATCTTTTTACATGGACAAACCTGATTCAACCACCATCATTGCAGCCGCTTGATGTTTGCCGTTCTGTTTCACTTGGTCCTGTGACCAACACCTATGTGCTGCCAAGACTCTATCTAGCAGTTCTTGAGGCACAGGTTCTCCTCTTCGTTGCTGCGGTGATATACTTGCCGTGTGAACCAATGTTTTCCACTTGTCCTGCAAAAAAACACAAAGTTCATTAAGATACAATTTAGAGTGGCTAAGGTTCAAAGTGTTGTATATGTATGTGTGTTTACCTTCAAGTCAACGTAGGTTCGATGACTTGCATCATCAAAAGAACGCAGTTTCACATCACGCCATCTGTGGAATAAAGAGTGTATTGATCATTCGTTGAAACACAACCAAGTTTAGTCTATTAACTTTTTATCAACTGAACCACCCTGCTTACCTTCCAGTCCCAAGTTCCTCTACAGCATGGACTAAAGCTTCTACCTCTGTAACAGAGAATGGTCTCCTGATTCTGCGCTGTGAAAGATCTCTACGCTTAGGTTTCTCGTTAAGTGGGACAATTGCAAGAGCCTCAGGTTCCAAGGCTGGAACTGGAACTATAGCTCTTGAATCTGATGAAGGTTGTTGTTCATCAGCTGTTATGTCACTCTGATATGGAACTAACTCCTGATTATTCTCCACACAAGTTCCTGAATCATTCACATGATCTGCATCTTGGAGACGCAAAGGACTTCTAGAATCTAAAGCGGGAGAAGAAGCTGCAGACCTGGCAAGATCAAATGATTTTCCTTAGAAATACTCTCTACAGCTTCACATTTATACTTGCACAAAAGTAAAGCTTGCAGCAAAAAAAATAAAAAGAATGAAAATATATTACTACCTTTCTGACAAATTTGTCGAATCAGTTGGCATAGAAATGACAGGGTTTTCGGGACCAGGCTCCAAGGTGAAGCCAAGGTTGTCTAGATTTTCTCTACATGAAAGACCAGTCTGTGTTAGAGTGTTGTTGTCATCTCTAACCTTCTTCCCTTGGACTAACACTCCAATACGTATCCCATCACCGAGTAAAGCAGTGACAGCCTCCATCACCGTCCTCTGTAACCAAAAGTGTTCAGTATCACGACTATGAAATAACACTTCATGTACACTGCGGAACCAAAGCCTTTAAAGACATTTAATCACACACCTTCAGAGAGCCTACTGTTGCTGTTTCTGGAACTTCAATAAAAAGCTCTGGAATCCTAAAGGACTTGATGCTGAACTTTACTGCAAACAAATGAAAAATAACATGAGAACAACGTATCATATATCTCGGTCAAAAGGTCTTATATAGACACTGATACGTACCTGATTCTCCCTTCACAGGTGAATTGGTAACACTTTCACAACTGAGTCCTCCATCAGAAGTTACTACCAACCCTTTCTCAGACATCCTTCTCTTCCTATGAACGCTCTCATGCTTCCTTTGGTTGTAACCATAACATAGTTTTCTCTTGCGGTATAGAGACTTTAAACAACCATCTAAACAGATATTCGAAACAAGAGTAAGAACAGAACAGCAGTTAATATGAATGCATCAAAGAGAAACATAGTAAGATCTTATACTAACCTGTTTTAGTGTCTTCAAAGCATTTCGACCTGGGGACTGCTCTCCCATATTTTTTCATCATTGACTTCTTGATTCTTCGGTGTCCAACACGAGTCATAGGCCTATACGACTTATTACATTTGTCACTAAATTTATAGTATTTACAATAGTTTTCTTCATCATCTCTGCAAACTAACTTAGAATGATTCACATATCCTCCCAAAGAACCATTAGAACCACCATCCAGGTGAACTGATTCATGACTTGGATCCTTTAAGCTGATAGTATCAGCGATCAAGTCATTGGTTGCTTCTCCTAGTTGAAAGCCGGCATCTACATTAACAACACCTGTCTCCTCAAGTTGCTTCAGACCAAGAGCTATCTTACAATCAGAAACAGGTGTCTGCTCCAAAACACAATCATTTTCCACAGAGGAAACTTGCAAACCCGTCTCGCTAGTAGCTTCACTAGGCGACTTTGAGGCAAGGTTTCCTTTTTGAGAAAGCTCAGATTTACAAGGCTTGACATCTTCAACGTGTTCTAGCTTGATCTTTCCAACCAAATGATCTTCTTGACTATCACCATAGGTAGAAGAAGTTGAGGAGCTTTCGCTTTCTTCAAGCAACTTTCCAGCAAGAGAAGCGAGCAAGTCAAATGCAGTGAGCTGACATTCAACATCATCTCTCTCACTTGATACCTTTCTCTAAAAAACATCAACCATAAGTCATCAGAACTAATTTTTTAAAAAAATATAAACATTAAAGAAATAAAAAAGGACACAAATAGTTACCCTGGTTGAACGAGGAGCCTTGGGAATATTTGGGAAATCAAAGCCATTAGAGCCTAACCTCCTCTTAACCACCATCTCTCAAACAAAGCTGCAAAGATTTAATCTCATGATCGTCTCCACCAAAATAAAATAGTATAATTCTTAAATTAATTATACATAAACGAGTAAAACTGTGATACTAATAAAGTCTACAGATCTGTTAAAGTAATGAATGTTGGAGGTCTGATGCAAAAAAAAAAACAGAGTATACAGATCAGAATAATAACGAATAACATATGACTCAAATGTCTGAACTTTTTTTTTACAATTTACGTAGAAAACAAACAAAAAACATGTCTTTGCAGATCTGATCATGGTTTTTGACCAGACATCAAGCATTTGTTCTAAAAATTCGAAGTTTTTACGTCAGATTCAAATAATTAAACATCACAATTCACGTAAAAACCTTAGGGAAACAGATTAATATTTTAAATAAAAAAACAGAGTCGAGATCATGAATTGTGATCATGAGAAGAGACACTTACCAAGTAGTAATATATCTTCAACGGATCTGATTCACAATGGAGAAATTAACAAAAGAATTTATACAGAGTTCGAAATTCTCTAAGATTTTTGGATAAAGGATGAATTTTTAGCGATCATCCTCTGTTTTTTTTTGGTTTCGTTTTACTCCTCACGTACCCTCTCTCTCTCTCTCTCTCTCTCTCTTTTAGAATAGGAGTAACGAAGAAGAAGAAGAAGAAGACATAAAACCCTCTGAAAAGAAACCACAACCGAAAACAATGGCTTAAACCTCCCAACTTTATTCTTCTTTTTTTCAGAAAAAAAAAATAATTCACGGTTTTGTTTTTTTAATATTGACCATACAACCGGATACGGTGGTTTATGGATATTGATTTTACCGGGTGAAGCCGGTCGCTTTTCTAACTTCTCCATCTTTATTAACGACACGTGGAGCATCCTCTCCTTACACGAAATCTATTTTCGATGCTATTGTCCGAAAAAGAGTTAATTTCGGGATCGGATAAAAAATAATATTCTGTTTGAAGGAGGGAATATTATTATCATGATACTGATCCGTGCACGTTTAAACCTCATTGGTCCACGTCATTTTCATGCTGATGATCTGAAAATTTTGCAATCCAGAAATTTGTTTTTTTTTTTGGTAAAATTCAGAAATTAATTGGTTTTGAGTGGTTCTCAATTTTGAAGTCCAATCTTTGCTTTCAAGTTTACTTATTAAGGTCGTGTATATGTTTATTAGATTTGATTTCCTCCCCATAAATATTCTCAAAGCTCTATTTATGACTTTTTATTGGGGTCAAATGTCAATATTGTAAGTTTATTTACAGTATTCATAAATGGTTTAGAATGAGAAATCGTTTAATATTGACCGGAGGCTGAAGACTCTTCAATTTTCTACCTACCATACGTACGAAAATACGTTACGTCATTACATAAAAAAAACTTTACATTTACAGACTAATCCTATAACGACATTTTATTTAATCACCGTATTCCATATAGTCTGAGATCCGCTTTTATATAATATACTGCTAATGTGTGTCCGGAAGAGACAACACAAGAGTAGAATCTTGTCAAAATTAAACATCTTCAGATCTTTTTTTTTTTGTCAAAAAGCATTAAATTACTTGAGTGAAGCTTAAATCATAAATCTATTGTAAAATATGATTAAATCATTCATTGTTTTGTCATAAACATTTTGGTGTTTTCTGTTATATTCCTAGCTGTATAAACTGTTAGATCACTGGTATATAACATATAATATTCTTCATGTGGCTTATTATTTTTATCATAAGGTATATGAGATCCAACAACCTAACAAATGGAGGATATTAGAGCATCCACATCAATGAACCCCCTCTTGGGGTTCATTGAATCAGTTTTTTATTATTAAAATTTTTCTGTTTTTTTTTCGATTTTTTTTTTTTAAAAAAAAAGAAAAAAAGAAATCTAGACCAATCCCGGGCCGACACGTGGTGAACCTTAGGAGAAAAGGGTTCACCCGGGTGAACTTTAGGAGAGAGGGGTTTATAAATTTTTGTTATTTTATTTTTTTGGTTTCCGTGTGAACCCCTATTTGAACTCTCAATGGGGGTGCTCTTACATCTAATTTGAAAGTCAGTTGGCATAAGCTTATCGCCAGATATACTAAAATAACACATTAAATAAAGCAAAGAGACTAAGATAATATATATAAAACAAGATTTCACATGGTTGATTGTCACACTTAGGCCCCCTCATATATACATTGTCTACCTTTTTTAAAAAATACGTAGATAATGTTGGATTTATATACATGTCGTTGTGTATGAAAGAAATACATGTGTCTGTGTTTCATGTGCATTGCACTATATTTTATAACTTTGGACATATATAATTTTAGAGAAAAACTAGCTTCTCTGTTGTTAACATGTCCCTGCTACATATGCTGTAAAGATCAACATAAAGTTCATAAGAAAAACCTTTAAATAAATTTCAAACACAAATATATCCACTTAAATAATATCTCCCAGTGTTCTTGGATATCGACAAGCGACAACATATGCATAGGCGGAAACATCCATAAAGAGCTGTAATTAATGACGGAAAAAACTACGGTTGGTTTCCAAACTATTGTGGGTTAACAGCAGTAAATCATCTTTTCCAAGTGAAAATTGTAGGAATGAGAATTTCTGTTAACCATGCTGAAACATTTACACATGTAGTTATTATAACGGAATAAGCGTCCAGTTATGTTTGATTGCAAACTTGCAATACCAAAATTCTCACATTTTAAGTTTATTATCTATAATATATCGCATGTAGCAATCTCTAGCGGATAAAAAAGGAGCCAAAGAGGAACAGATCTAGTATTTATTATTTAACGAGTTGCGAGTTCGCTTGGTTGAACAGCTTTCGTTCCTTTATTTTTCATCTTTTCCCTCTGTAACCAAGTTGAAGTAAAGCAATCACGAGTTATCACATGCTTATCATTGTCTTGCAACATTTCGAAATTGTTATAATACTCCATTTGCCCAAAGAATCTCAATAGCTTACGTTATACCCTATCGTCTACATTTAATTTTTTCGATATGTATATTTGTTTATCTGGTTCGGTTGTTGATAAATAATCATGTCAAAAAGCGATGGTGGTATATGATTTCTTTAAAATATGAAAAGCTAGTGGGTAGTAAATTAAGGAGTGCATTAAACGGGAGGAGGATGCGTGAGTGAAGAAGATACCTGTAGTTGTTCACGTAAGCTTGTGACTAAAGTAGAAAGCGTTGCGTGAGAAACAATCTATAACTGTGACTATGCTATATAATAAAAAAATAAAACTAAAGAAGAAAATATGCTAATTCTAACCTAAAGAGTTTTTCCTCGTGCCAAAAGAAAAAAAAAAAGATATTTTATTTAGGCAAACTCAGATATATATGCATTTTCGTTTGTTGATGCTATTTATATTATGAATTTGCTGAATAAAAATGATCATATACAAAATAACAGATCAACAATCTTTTCTCTTTTCCAAAATGTCATTTTCACAATAAATAAACAAATTAGCTTTTTAATCTGTGTATATAAACATCTACAATGAAACTACTATAAATTAATAATGTTGGGAATACACCAAAACTATAATTTTTATTAATTTATCGATATAATAATTGAATTAAATATTTAATTTGGAACTATAAAGTTATATTATTTTATAGAAATATTTAGTGTATATTAATTTATCGATTATTAATTTATAGAGGTTATACTGTATATGGTTTTGTATTTTTTCTTTAAATTGTGCTGTTGACAAATCCCCAAAGCCTTGCCAAAAAATACATGAATATACATCATGTTAATGTTGATGGAGAGCCTGGATCAATGAATGCAGCACTGGCTCAATTCAAAGNTTAAATTGTGCTGTTGACAAATCCCCAAAGCCTTGCCAAAAAATACATGAATATACATCATGTTAATGTTGATGGAGAGCCTGGATCAATGAATGCAGCACTGGCTCAATTCAAAGAGATGGCAGAAAGGAAATGAAACATTAGGTGGGCCATCACTAGTACATATGGGCTTATTCAAAATTAAGGATAAGAGAATAATTGAGCCTTCTTGAAAATGTATTCCCAATAACTCTCAACATTATAAGAAGAACTAGGTGATGACCCGCGCCTTGCGCGGGATGAGTGACGGAAAGAGTTTATAACTATAATGTATAAGATAATATAATATAAACTTATCTTTTTATAAGAACAAAGTTTGTGTATTGGATAAATCCATTGATTGAAGTGTTTATATGGGAAAAAATTAAGAGTAAGGAAAGACTTTTTTTAATTTATTAAAGAATTTAAGAAAAATAAAACATAAAAATATAATTATTCATTTCATAACCAAAGTAAAGTATGATGATAATAATAAAAGATACAATTGTAATAGATTTTTTGTATGTGATATAGTTTGATTTAGTAAAACTAACATATATTTATAAAATTTAATATAACAAAAAATGAAATAAGATAGAAAGGCTAATCAAAATATTAAAAATTTCACTATCTTATCTTGAAAGATGCATATAAAATGAAACATATACTATAATAATCAGGTGATAATCCACACCCTGCACGGAGTAAATGAATTAAAAAATTATTATCTAATATCTATAGATATTAAAATTCAAATGGCAAAAATATTAGATATAATGAAATAGATGCATTTGTTTATATAATATAATCTTGTTTTTTTTTTGAAAAAAAATTGTGTAAATGGAAAATTGCATTGAAGTTTGTTATATGAAAAAAAAACTATAAGATTAAGCAAAAACTTCTTTAAATTTAGTATGAATTTAAGAAAAAAATCATAGGTTTGAATAATTTTTAATTTATAACAGAATTATGATGATATAATTAAACCAACATAGGTAATAGAAAAGTTTTCCTTTATATTTATGGGCTTATATCAAGATATATGATATATACAGAACTATAAAGAAATTAATAATGTTGATAGATTCCAAAAACAATGGGAAAAGCTTTTTATAGAAATATTTAGTGTATATTAATTTATCGATTATTAATTTATAGAGGTTATACTGTATATGGTTTTGTATTTTTTCTTTAAATTGTGCTGTTGACAAATCCCCAAAGCCTTGCCAAAAAATACATGAATATACATCATGTTAATGTTGATGGAGAGCCTGGATCAATGAATGCAGCACTGGCTCAATTCAAAGNTTAAATTGTGCTGTTGACAAATCCCCAAAGCCTTGCCAAAAAATACATGAATATACATCATGTTAATGTTGATGGAGAGCCTGGATCAATGAATGCAGCACTGGCTCAATTCAAAGAGATGGCAGAAAGGAAATGAAACATTAGGTGGGCCATCACTAGTACATATGGGCTTATTCAAAATTAAGGATAAGAGAATAATAAGCCTTCTTGAAAATGTATTCCCAATAACTCTCAACATTATAAGAAGAATTCATAAATCTCTAGAGGGATATGATTGCCGAGCTCTTACAAAGCTGTCATAATAAGACAGATCATATGAACAGGGGAAGGCCAAATATAGAAGACAACACCGATCATAATCAAACACAATACCAATAAACACACTAAAGTATATACAATCAAATACATATAGCACAATGAACAAAGTTGTTTTTTCCCACAACATTGACACACAAGACCCGAAATGCTTACTACCCATTTCAGCCATTTCAGACTACAACACAAATTACATTAGCCCTCAGTAACAAACACACATTACATTATCTAAATCAACGATCATCAGGATCCCCAATACCAATGATCACAACAAACCTTAAAAGCCGAAAAGTGAAATATCGCTACTGATCCAAAAGAGATTTTCGGATACTTGCATATATTCACTTTGATCTACACACACACACAACACAAAAGAAATACATCTCTATGTTTTTTTCCTTCTCTTCTTCTTCTTCTCAAGAAGAGCAATCAGGACAACGTATCAACCCATTCTCATTACAATCAGGACACCTCTTAACCCTATCTTCATCCTCATCAAACAACTTCTTACTCCCACTACAATTCAAACACGGAATAAACCTAACATCCCCACAACACCGACACACAAACCCAGGCTCCCTCACAGGAAACTGCTTAAGAATCTTAGCCAACTCCCCAATCTCAAACAAACTCTTGATCACATCAGCACCACCAACATACTTCCCCATAATAAAAACCTGAGGCAAAGAAACACTAACTTTCTCCCCCATCGCAATCTGCAACTCCTTCCTATAACCCGAGTCCATCGACACGTCGCGCTCATCAATCCAAACCCTAAAACCTCTAAAAATCATCCTAACGGCGTAACAGTCCTCGTAAGTCCTTCTAATCCCTCTCAGGCTGGTAAAAAACACCACGATACGGTCCTCCGTCCCAGGGAGACGGGTGACGGAGTTGGTTAGGCTTAGGAAGGGAGATAACCGGGATTCGGATAAAACCGATTTCCCTGGGGGCTTCTTCTGTTGTGGAGGAGGATCGGTTGTTTGTTTGACGGATTTTGAGCATTCGAATAGTCTGCAAAGGTCTTTGACTTTGCCTTTGAGGGAGTTTCCGACTGATTCCACGGGGGAGGTGGTGTAGTATTTGGTGATGGAGGTTGTTCGGTTCAGGGAAGGGTTTAGGGATGATGCGGTTACTGGTCTTCCGTGATGAGTTGTTAACGACCTGCTGAAGAAGCTCGATTTCGTTTTCGCCGTGTGGTCTGCGTTTTTCTCTAACCCCGCCATTGGATTCACGATTGGGCGGCGGCGCGAAAACCTAACGGAATCGAAAACTCTACGATCAAAAATTCAAATAAATAGATGAATCTAAAGACATATTAATCGAATCCTAACCGATTGATTGTCCACGTAAGCAATAAATGAATGTTGATCACAAAAAAGAAAACGATCGGAGAAAAAAGATAAATAAAATGTCAGGTTAATTGGTTTGAGTTGTAAACGATGAGCAAAAGGATATCGATATCTTACCTATGATGAGAGGAACAAGAATTGATGGAAGGAATATACGATGATGATGATGATGATTCTGGGGGGGAGAAGAAGATTGTGGAGGAGGGAGCTCTGAATTAGCCTTTTTTTTTCTTCGTTGTAAAGCAAAAAAGAAGATTTCTGTTTCTTTCTTCTTTTTTTTTTTTTTCTTTTTTCCTGTTAAGTTATTATTATTTTTTTTGTTGTTGTCAACAAATTATTATGATTATGTCATTTCTAAAGAGGCTCCCGGGAGAGAAGGAAATGAACTAAAATTAAATTAAAAAAACGCGGTTAGCGTAATAAAAACTTTATTCCAAATGTGGGAGACAGGTGGAGGAACCGAATTGGGTGGTTTTAGAGTTGGGTTTAGCGATGGTTCTTCTGAGTTGGGCTTTTGGTATGGACTTGTTATTATTTGGGCTGTTGTAACAAGATAAAGGGTAGTAAGGATTTGTTATTATTTGTGTTGTTGTAACAAGAAAGAAGAAAGCTAGTGTTTTGATTGGTTTTACTTTTTATACTACTAACAGATATAAATTGTTTTTTTTAATTGTTTTGTGCTGCTTTACTACCGTTTAAAATCATTCTTAAATCAAAACTATTGTTATGTTTTTTTAACAAGTAAAATTTGGATTTAACTGTCGAATATTAATGGTACACAGGAGTAAAAATGAAATAGGATAAGCAAACAAGTAAAACTTTCGATTTTGAAATAAGCAAACATGTAGCCTTTGGATTTTTTTAAATAATCAATGAAGTCTAATCCGATCTATTATCGATCTAATATGAAATCGGTCTATTAATCTTTGTTCAAACATTTTGAAATTGACATTCAAATAGCTATCATTTCTAAAAGTACATTAAAGAATAAATAACTTACATCGAAAAATTGAAATATATTTTAAATAATACATAAGATAAATAAATCTATTTTTATCAAAAAAAATAATAAATCGATTAATAAATAAGTCAAAACGTTTTTGTTGCGACACTTGCCCTCGTATTGTCAAGTTACCAAAAATCACAGATCCAGAAGAAGAAAAAAATGTCATATTGTGGAAGAAATGAGACCCCAAGGCCCAGGGCCAGCACTAATATTTGGAATCCTTTGAAAAATAAAATGTAACTCGACAAAAACATTCTTGTCTGTTTGCACCGAACGTTAACCAAGACAACAAGCAAAAACGATCTTTCTTTCTTTCTTCACCGTCCTCATTATAATCTGCAAAAAACTTGCAAAAAAAAAACATTAGACGAAGCTTCACTCAACCACAATCTGAAAGAAGGTACAGTTTAATTATCGTTTAATTTTCTTCCTTGATGAAACCGGTGGTGTTTAATTTCAATTCGTAGTAAGATTGCTCCAAACTTGATTTTGCTACGATTTTATTTTGATTTGATTAGATGATTACATATAAAACCACTGCAAGCTTCATGAATCTTTGTATCTGGTGAATTTTACAGGATTTAATCACTCTCTATAAAAACTTGTCTCGTTACAGGGTTTTTTTTTGTGTTATGGAGATAATCTCACAGAAGTGTCTACCTCAGTGTTCTGTCGTGACTTGGAGTAGAAACAGATCGGTTCCAAATCGACCAAACATCTTATTACCTAACGGTGTGATAAAAAAATCAAGATTTGTGATTCGAAATGGAACTTCAGATGGTTATGTGGTCGGTGAGAGTGATGACTTGAGTAGTTTAGCTAGAAGAGGAGACTCAAAATCTAAGCTTTTGATTCCTGGTTTGCCTGACCAATCAAACGGTGAAGCTGCTCGAATCACTACTTCTCAGTGTGAGTGGAAGCCTAACCTCACTGTCCATTATGAGAAATCTGGTTGTGAAAACGTGGAGGCTCCTGCGGTGTTGTTTCTTCCTGGCTTTGGTGTTGGTTCTTTTCACTACGAGAAGCAGCTTACTGATTTGGGAAGGGATTATCGAGTTTGGGCTGTTGATTTTGTTGGTCAGGGGTTGTCTCTCCCTACTCAAGACCCTACTACTAGTATTAGTACTGTTACTAGTACTACCATGTCTGAAGATAATGAATCTTTTTGGGGATTTGGTGATGAAGCTCAACCATGGGCTGATCAACTTGTTTACTCCCTTGATCTCTGGAGGGAACAAGTTCAGTATATTGTAGAAGAGGTATATACAACAATATCTTTCAAAGATATCGGAAACTATAAGTTACTGAGTCGTTAAGAGTATGTGGTGTTTGTTTTATAGGTTATTGGTGAGCCAGTGTACATTGCAGGGAACTCACTTGGAGGGTATGTAGCTCTCTACTTTGCAGCAACCCATCCTCATCTAGTGAAAGGTGTTACGTTGCTTAACGCGACGCCTTTTTGGGGTTTCTTCCCTAATCCAGTAAAGTCCCCACGGCTAGCACGTCTCTTTCCATGGTCTGGAACATTCCCTTTGCCGCCAAGAGTGAAAAAACTCACTGAATTAGTGTAAGTAATACTTTATTAACACATCTTCTAGCTCGTATAAGACTAATATATCTTCTATTGTTGATGGAATATCAGGTGGCAAAAGATAAGTGATCCTGAAAGCATAGCTGAGATACTTAAACAGGTGTACAAAGACCATTCCACTGATGTGGATAAAGTATTCTCACGTATTGTGGAGATCACGCAGCACCCGGCTGCTGCTGCCTCCTTTGCGTCAATCATGTTTGCTCCTGGTGGAGAGTTATCTTTCTCCGAAGCTTTATCTAGGTATAAGACAGAATGGTTCTCTTGTTGTATATGTTTTTCCCCTCTATATGTTTGGTGTTTTATGTGATTGTGTTTGCTAGGTGTAAGAAAAACAATGTTCAGATATGTCTAATGTATGGAAAAGAAGATCCATGGGTGGGACCTATATGGGGAAAGAAGATAAAGAAGGAGTTGCCAAACGCTCCATACTATGAGATCAGCCCAGCGGGTCACTGCCCACACGATGAAGTCTCTGAGGTAAAAGAATGAACAACTCAAAAACTTCTCTCAATAAAAGCTTTGGATATAAATAGGACTCTTTTGAATATGATAACGAGTAGGTGGTGAACTATCTGATGCGAGGGTGGATCAAACACCTAGAGTCTGGTGGTTTTGAAGCGCTGCCGCTTTTGGAAGACGGTGAAGAAGATTGGGAGCAGTCCAGGATTGCTAGGGAGATGGAGTTTCCAAGAGGAGAAGGTTGGAAGAAATCAGTGAAGCTGTGGCTGTACGGGGCAAAGTATTCGTTCTGGGGTGGAGTTGGAGAAGCCTTTAGAGCCAGTTTAGTAAAGGTTCTTCGAGGGAAGTCTGTATAGAAAGTAGCAAGCAAAACATGTTGTCGTTGTCTAATGTAGATAGTTGTAATCAGTGGTGATACAGTGTTGTCTTATATGGAATCAAATTTCTAAATGTTCTTCAAAAAGAAAACGTTGGAGAAAGAAAATGTGTATATAGAATAGATGATCTTCCTACTTTTTTATCATCATATCATCTGTGCAAATTAGAATTGTATATGATTTGAATTATTCGTTAGCTTGAATTTTTGAGTCATTTGAACTATCACATTTTACTAAACAATAAAATTTATATATTCACTTCTACCTTTGTGCAAATGAAAAACCAATCAACTGATGCTATTTGTGTAGTTTTTCTACGTAGTGTTGCTCTAATTTATACCATCAATATCAAGTTCAATTTCTTTTAAGAAAATATTTTATCAAAAGAAAAAGAAATACAGAAGAACCTCTATAGATTAATACTCGATAAATTAATATACATTAAATATCTTTATAAAATAATAGAATTTTATAGTTCTAAATTGAATTTTTGGTTCGATTAATATATCAATAAATTAATATCTCTCTAAATTACTTTAAAAAAAATTGGTGTAATTTCAACTTTATTAATTTATAAAGATTTTAGTGTATAAAAATACAATTGGTATAGCAATAAATAATTTAGCAAACAATGGAAAAAAGAAGAAGAATCACAACTGTTTTCAGTGAAAAAAAAAAAAAAAAAGAATCACAACTGTTTTAGCAACAAAAGGAAACGTGGGACCCAATGAAACTGGCAAACCCTCTAAATGTGGCAAAAAGGTGTCATGCAAATACTCAAATTAAAGAAAAGAGAGATACAGAGAGAGAGAGAGAGGAGCACGCAAAACAGTGTTCATGCAAACACAAAAACACTTATGTTTTCTTTGTACTAATCTCTCTTTCTTATATATTACATCCAAATATAGCAATCTTTGCGTCTTCCTTTTATAGACTGTAAACCAAAAAAAGGAGTTTCAATATCCATTTTGAGGAAGAGAGATTTTAAACCTTCTCTTTCTTCTTCTAAGCTCGAAGATGGGTCGTGGAAAAATTGAGATAAAGAGGATTGAGAATGCGAATAGCAGACAAGTCACCTTCTCCAAGAGGCGTGCTGGTTTGCTCAAGAAAGCTCATGAACTCTCTGTTCTTTGTGACGCTGAGGTTGCTGTCATTGTCTTCTCCAAGTCTGGGAAGCTCTTCGAGTTCTCAAGTACTAGTTGGTAATATTAATCAAATCATTTTTCTTGATTCCATTTTTTCATTTGCATGTCTACATTTTGATGGCTTTAAATATGATGCTCTTAGTGAAACTGGTTCTTGCATGTTTGTTTGGATTCATTAGTCCTAATTAATTAAAATCTCAGATCTAATTTGTCATTTTGGTTTTAGCATGAAGAAAACGCTTTTGAGGTATGGCAATTACCAGATCTCTTCAGATGTTCATGGGATTAACTGTAAAGTTGAGGTTAGAAATTAACTCATGTGTTTTTTGCCTTGACTCAACCTCAACTGTTTTACTCTGTTTTGTCTTAAACTATGTTTAGAACCAGGAGGAGTGTACAGAGATGGATCTTTTAAAAGATGAGATTTCAAAGCTTCAAGAGAAACACTTGTATGCAACCTAACTAATCTCACTTGGTTCTTTATTCTTTTCTCTAACCACCCACCACTTTTGTGTCTTAGTTTGTCTTTTGTGTGTGTCTGCAGACAGATGCAGGGTAAGCGGTTGAATACTCTGAGTTTGAAAGAGCTGCAACACCTTGAGAAGCAACTAAATTTCTCATTAGTATCTGTTAGAGAGCGAAAGGTAATATCAATTTTTTTTTATTAAAACATATTTGCATTTCTCCTGATAAAGGTTATGTTATTTCAGGAACTAATGTTGACTAAACAACTTGAGGAATCTCGGCTTAAGGTAACTCTTGAGTTATATATGAAACACTTGCTTTTCCTGTTTAGTTGCTAATATATGGTCACTTCATGTAAGTTTATGTGACCACATGACTCTGATGAACCGTGTTCATATTGTAACTAGCTAGTGTGTAGTTTATTTGTCTTAACTAGTTATGTACCCCTATAACAGGAACAGAGAGCAGAGCTGGAAAATGAGACCTTACGTAGACAGGTGAATGCAACCACTCTTTTATCATTTGTGTTAAATTCTTCTCCTATCACATGATCTTTCTTTCTTCAACTTCTAATCATCTTCTCTTTTGAAGTAGGTTCAAGAACTCAGGAGTTTTTTCCCATCGATCAACCAACACTATGTTCCATCCTACATCAAATGCTTCCCTATAGATCCCAAGAAGAACTCACTCTTAAACAATACTTCTTTGGGAGACATTAACTGCAGCCTCCAAAACACCAACTCAGACACAACTTTGCAACTAGGGTATTTGAGCCCGTTTTAGCTAGCCTTTTGTCCTCTGCTAGTATGCATATGCAATAACAACACTATTTGATTTATTGATTCTTACATGTGTTGTTTTCTCCACAGGTTACCGGGAGAAGCACATGATGGAAGGAAGAATGAAGGAAATAGAGAGAGCCCATCTAGTGATTCAGTGACAACGAGCACGACTAGAGCAACTGCGCAAATGATTAGTCTAGCTTAGAAAATATTCTATCTGAAAAAAAACAAGAGGTTCTCTGTTTATTGTTTAACTAGTTGAGAGTTTAATATTCTATAATCTGTAAAATTAACTTTGGGTTTTATTAATTAATCAGTAGTTACTAGAGCTTGGATCTGGAATCACACATGTGAGTGCATTGCCTTCCAACTATATAATCTTTTTTTCTCTATATGGTTGTATAGTAATATGGTAAAAACATTCTAACAATATGTCTTTTGTACTAACTTTTTTAAACACATCTCTGATCTAACTTGGCATTATAAGGCTAATAATACACTCTAAAATAAAATACAAATCATCGGATGTAATTTGAACAACATCAAAATTCCATTGAAAACTACTTCTTTGTTTCAGCTAGAAATGGTTTGAACGTCAATAAAACTCCAAGTGCCAAGACAGTATTCAGAATAAAGAACACCATTTGTGTACCTGCACATTCAAAGTACCATGTTCTTCTTTATACCTCTGATCTTATGTAAGCTAATGAGTACAATAATATGTATATGAATATGAAGAGATCACATTACCAGGAAGGAAAGTAGCATCCTGACGTTTCTCACTCCATGAATATCTGCCACCAAACCCAAAAATAAGTGAGAAACCTATAATACATCGCTAAACCAAAAAAGTTCTTGTTGTTGATAAGTTTTGTGTTCATTTGAAGCATTACATGATTCCTGCTGCTGCTGGACCTATTGCTTTGAAAAGAGACATCCCTGTCATGGCAAGCCCATTAGCTGCTCCTCTTTGGTCTTGTCTCTGTTTTGTCATTAAAAGAACAAGACACGTTAGTCTTGTTTCTGGATTTTACCTAAATTGTAAACTGTATACACGTTCTGAAGATACTTACCACAGCATTGTTTTGAAGTATGAATAAGCCAGTTACAGCAGAAATCTGCGCATATAAGCACAAATGTTGAGATACTAAAATCCATAATAACACAATCTTCTAAGGTTATCAGATGCTTACGCTTAAAACATTCTTTGCAACGGATGCACAGTTTAGCGTCAAGGTAAGGGCTAAACCAGATAACTTTGCTATTAGAGGGTAACTTGATAAGAGAACTAAACCAAGACTCTGTGCCAAAAACATGCACAAGATTAGAACGCTCATGCTCAAATATCACAAGGAATGCAGTAATAACAACAGAGGATAATGGTTACCCCAGATATACGTGTAACTATGATTGGTCCTAAAAGCCTCTCAGCATAAGAGTAGAGTGAAAGCTGAAACACAAGGAGACCAAACCCTTGAAAGTAGTAGTGTTTAGGTCAGAACAGTTCATTTCTGTTGAAAATGTTAAGTACTGAAGAGTATGAACACACCAGAAAATGCAAGAACAGAACCAACATCTGCAGATGAGTATCCCAAACCTCCATACTTCCTTGGGCTATTTGCCCACAATGAAAAAACCTAGCAAAAGAAAGAAAAGCTTATGTTTATGGGAGCAAATAAACAAAGATGAGTGTGGAGGAAGTGGAGTCAAACCTCAGTGTAAGCCATATCATGAAGTGACAAGATGCAGTATACAATGATAGATGACATAAGTGGCCAGTTACTCAGGAGAGATGTTTTTTCATTTCTCTCTGTCACTTCATGAGATTCAGGGTCATGAGACAAAAGTTTGATAGACTCATCATGTGATGCATCATCAGCAATCTTGTGATTGTGCAATGTTTCCTGGAGAAAATAAGAACAACCCATCTTTAGGGTTAAGATAAAAACACAATAACTAAGGATTTCAAGTAGAGAGCTTACCGGAATCCGCAATGAGACTATGGTTACCAAAAGTGCAAAACAAGATATTACTAAGCAGGGTAAGAAGTAGGGAAACCTGCATTATGATTTATAGACCAATGAGACTATATATGTAGTAGTTGAATGAAAGTGAAGAGGAGGTAGTGAAAGTAATTACTTACTTCCCAAAAACTGATTTCTCTGAGAATAAACTTGGATATTGCTTTGCAGGCTACAAGGTTCAGAGATGAAACAAGAATCAATTAAGAAGAGTGAGAAAAACAAGATTGAAATGTAATTTTTTTAATGAAGAAGACCTGAGCAAGAAAACCACCCATAGCAGGACCAATGATGAGTCCAATGCCCCATGCTGTGCTTACAGCTGAGAGTGCTAAACCTTGATATTCATCACGGAATATTTCTATTGCGTATGCCTGAAATTTTCATCAACATTATCAGGTTGATGAGCTTCAAGAAGTTAAAAAAATTTAAAGAGGAAGACATGAAATGACCTTTATAGGACCAAGTAAACCGTTGAAACTACCGAGGCAGAATCTGGTGATGATGGCCATCCAGAAATTTACACTTAGGCCAAACAGAGTATTGAAAATGACCCTATGACAAGAAAATTTTTAAGCACTGTTTAGATAAGAAATAACACAAAAAAAAAAACAAAGATGAAAGATGTAAGATTCAAGATTTACTAACACTGATGCAGTTCCTATGAGGATCACTGGTTTTCTACCATAACGATCAGCCATGATTCCCCAGATCACAGATGTTAACGTTCGTCCAAGCATAAAAGAGCAACCTTCAAAGGAAAAAATTGTAAGTTTAAAATTGCTTACACTGTAACATTTGAAATAGCCTAAGACCATGATTAACCCCGGATTCTAAGAGTGGGGTTCTTAACGGAAATTAAAAAACAGTTTCTTAACTTTTAACTAAAAAGATTAAGAACCGATTCTTAAAATCCTTGTTTAAGAACAAGTTCTTAACTTTTTAGTTGAAACTTAAGTTTTGATCAAAAAAAAAAAAGTTGAAACTTAAGAAACAGGCTCTTAACTTCCGCTAAAAACCCCACCCTCAGAATCTCGGGTTAATCATGCTCTAAGGCGGCGGTCAAGAACTTGGTTATATATAACAAAAAAAAAGATCAATATGAAGATGTCTCACCAACAAATCCAGCATAAAACCCAATGTCCTCTTCCTTCTTTGCTATATTAAAATCATCAATCTACCAACATACAAAAATAAAAAACACACAAGATTCAGATAAGCACGTTACAAGACTTTTGTGTGTGACAGAAAGAACAACCTACGTAAGTAAACTACTGTTTGACCACTGTGTGCACTCACCATAAAGTAAAGGAATGGGAAAAGAGAAGAGATGGGCAGAGCTGAAAACAATGAACCAAAACAAAAAAAAACTATTTGTTAGAAAAATTCTACGTTAACATAGTATGGTGTGAAGAAAGATTTGTACCGGTGCATAGGACAACGATCCAAACGGAGAAAAGCTCTGAGAAAGGGAATCCACGACGAGACTTTTTCATCTGATCAACCTTGCAGCCAGGGCAATGGTCATGATACTTATTATTCTCCAGCAAACATTCTGTATACTCTTCCGCCATTTTTTCAAAAATCAAAACCCACCTCGGGATCGTAATGAATCCAGAAATTTTGGGAAGATGGGATGTGTTTTTATTTTTTCTATGTGATTAGAGATTGTCACGTTCTCTTATAATTCTTTCTGTCAAAACAGAAATGACGGAAAAATATTTTATTATAGAGAGTCCGCAAGGGACATGTGGGAGTGTGTTATCTAATGTCAACTTATTAATCATTAAGACTTTTATCGAATTTTGATAATGATGTAAACATAATAACTGCCTACGTAGTTGTTATTTGTTTTTTTTTTCTTTTGAAAGATTTCTTCAAATTAAGTAGTTATTTGTTCCTGCATTTTTCATGATTGAAATTTGGTTAGTCTAATTACAAAAAGTTAGAGGAATTAATGACTTCCATATGAGTTGATATGATCACAACTAATAGAGAGATTCTTTACCTTTTTGGTGGTGTTTTTTTACTATGGTCAAACGTTTTTGTGTATATTGTAAAAATCAACTTTATTTTTTTATTCTCCACGTTTTCCACTTTCTTAATTAACATTTACTTTTGTTTTCAAAATTACAAGTTACAAAAATACTCTCTTTTCTTCTAATTTGACGCCAACGCGTTTTCAACAATATTATTATTAGCTAACTTTCTTTACTTAAATTACATTTATTAATTTTGACTAATGTAATTTAGCATTTGTTGGACGTCGAAAAAAGGTTTAATTAATTAAACATGTGAAATCAAATCTGTATCGGATCTCTCAATAATTGGTCTCTCATGCCAATCTATACGGTAGATCTGATCCTTCACCACGACTCAGCCATGCAATGGATTTAATAATCCAATAGGAACAGTATTGTACTTACACTGATGTGCTTTATGATGTCACTCATGTTTCTATAATCTTCTGGCCCAAAATCAGACAATGCAAAACAAAAGAAAAAAAAAAACTGAAATCCTAAGAGTATTGAAATTCGATAATTTTTTATTCAATCTAAACTTTAAAGAATCAACGAGTCCCATACATTTTCCCTATCACCAACTCCCAATAAAATTTCACCTTCTAGATGTTTTAAGAAATGGCTTGAACGTGAGAGCTACACCGACCAGGACTATCACATTCAGGACGAAGAATACCATATGCGATCCTGCACATGTGTTACAATTTATTTGTGTTTAAGCATAAGTATTATTTGAGCATCATAAACAGTGGTAAAAAGAACTTATGTGCATGAAACCTGGTAGAAATGAGGCGTTCAGTCTCCTCTCGCTCAATGAAAATCTGCCATCAATAGAGATTCGTGTTTCAGGCATTACTGCTTCTTTAAACTCATGTAGTGTGTGGTCATTTAGAAGAGTCACTTACAATATGCCAGCTCCAGCTGGTCCAACGGTCTTAAACAGAGACATTGCAGTCATAGCAATTCCATTAGCCGCTCCTCTCTGCCTCTGATCCTGTTGTTTCATTACAAAAAAGTATAGTAAGTCACAAGAAAACTGGTCCACAGTTTTTAGAAGATGAAAGGATGTTCTTTGTCTTACCACAGCTTTGTTTTGTAGGATCAACAAGCCTGTTATGGCAGAGACCTGAAAGGATCATAAGCAGGTGATAAAATATTATAACATGACCATTTATTTTCTTTATATGTAAACAGTAAACTACATACACACAAAGGAGAAATAAAGAACAGGATTAGCTTTTGCATTTGGACTTACACTTAGCACATTGATGAGGATTGATGCACAGTTCAGCATTAAGCTTTGACTGAGACCTGATAAGTTAGCTATAAATGGATAACTCATCTGTAATGGTATCATCAGTGCCTGAAATAAATTAGAAGTTGTCAGAAAAATGATATATATCTTGTTGCATTCAAATGCACTAGTATAATATGCAGATAAGCACCATAGAGAGAATATTAACTGACCCCAGCATAACGGGTGACCATTACAGGTCCTAGAAGTCTCTCGGCCAAAGGATAAACAAAGACCTGAAAGCAGAATAGGCCGAGACCTAAAACAGAATTGTTGATGAGTTATAAACACAAGTCTCAATTTCATTAATAAGGATACTAATGACTTCATGACTGCTTAATTCAAATACTAATTCAAATCAGAGCAAACTCTAATCATCATTTTCACAAGTTCTTATCACTACTAGACATGAAGAGAAAAGATGTTCTGCATACCTGAGATTGTAAGAACTGTGCCGACATCATTGGTTGAGTAGTTCAGACCTCCATATTTCTTTGGACTGTTAGCCCATAAAGCAAATATCTGCAAAGTCAGATCCCAAGTGATTAAGATTTTTCTTCAGACAAAAAAAAACTCAAGACTATGAAGTAACAAAGGATTCTAATACACTTACCTCAGAGTATGCAGTATCATGTAGACACAGCACGCAATAAACAATGATGGATGACATTAGTGGCCAATTTTTCAACAGAGACCCTTGAGAAGCCTTGCCTTTATTCCCTGTGGAAGCAGTAGAGTCACGAGCTGCAGCTTCAAGTACTTCGTATGAGTCATCATGTGAAGTGTTGTCCTGCTTATGATTGTGCAGTGTTTCCTACTCGGAGAGAGACATAAGAGACTCACTCGTTAGAGAACTCTATGAGCATTATACTAATAAAAGAATAGTAGACAATGAATACCGGAATGAAGCAACATAGTACTGTCACAACCAATGCAAAAGCTGAGATTGTAAAGCAAGGCAACGCATACCGAAACCTGCATTGAAATTCACATATTCACTTCATTATACACTATTCCACTAAATTCTTAAAGCAGAGGAGTAAGCATACACACCTCCCAAATAAGGATTCTTTAGAGAACACATTTGGATATTTGTCTGCCGGCTAAGAACATTGAAAAGGCATTATTAGTAAGGCTTCAAAATGAATCAATAAGAGATAGGAAAGCTGAAGCAAGGCGAAGGTATGTGATGATCAAACTTACTTGTGCTAAAAAGCCTCCTAGAGCTGGACCAATGATTAGACCAATGCCCCAAGCTGTACTAACCTGAAATTAGGTAAAAGTTCAGAGCGTCATGACACCAAAAGTCAAAAAAAAACATGTAAGAAAACATATGATTAAAAAAAAAGCTTACAGCTGACATTGCTGTTGCTTGATACTCATCACGAAATATCTCTGACGCATATGCCTATCACATTACACCATTAAGATATTAGACAAGACAAATGAAAATCTGATGTGCATAGCACAAATAGTGGTAGCAAAGAGGTTACCTTCATTGTTCCAAGCAAACAGTTGAAGCTCCCTAGAAGAAACCTTGTGCCTATAGCCATCCAAAAGTTTAAACTCAATCCAAAAAGAGCATTGAAAACAGCACTGCAAAAAAACAACATAAACAGTTAAGTAACCAGGAAAGGAGATACAAACATCATAGTCAAGACAATATTCAAGTATACTAACATGGAGATAGTTCCCAAGAGTATGATAGGTTTTCTCCCATAACGATCAGCTACAATCCCCCAGAAAACTGATGTCATTGCTCTCCCAAGCATAAATGAGCACGCTACAACAAAAGCAGAAAGAAGATAACAATTAGAATAAATGGTAATCCATACTCCCTCCGTTTCAGAATGATCTATGTTTTAGAAAACTGAGTTGTTTCTAAAAGATCTATGTTTTACATTTTCAGCGTAGATAATAATAGCAAATTGTTAATTTCAAAGATATTAATTATATTTACTCAATTTCGATTGGTTAAAATTCATAAGAATAGCTAAACACAGAAAATAATACATTTATTATAAAATTTTAAGTGCTTTCTTACTAACTGTGAAAACTCTAAAATATACATAATTTTGAAAAGGAGGGAATAGTTTACAAGTGACTGAGGAAAAGGATCCTCACCTATAAATCCAGCATAGAACCCAATATCTTTCTCTGTCTTTGCAACACCAAAATCCTCAATCTATGAAAAAAAAAAAAATTAGTGACTTGCAAGCGATGTGGTATGGCTCTCTCTCTAATCAAAAAGACGCACCATGTAATAGAGGAAGGGATACAGAGATGAAATCGGCAGAGCTGCAAAACACACATGGATTCAGATGAGAGAAAGCATAAAGAATCATTACTTTAGCCAAACCATTAGCCAAGAAACAAGACTATGTTTTAAAACAAAACTAGTCTAATCGTTCCGACACACCATACTCACAGAAGATAGAAACAATCAATTTTTGAGAAGCAAAGAAACACTTACAAGTGGAGAGAACAATGATCCAAACAAAGGTAAGCTCAAGATAAGGATATCCACGACGAAGCTGCTTCATCTGCTCAACCTTACATCCAGGACATCCCTCGTGATACGTCTGCTTCTCCAACAACGCCTCCTTGTACTCCTCAGCCATTTTTTTTCACCACTCTCCGATTCAACTCACAGCCTTATAAATATTAAATGAGAAAAGAAACCTTAAGAAGAATGTAGAATAAAAAACGGAAACGGCAAGAGAATATATTCATAAACGTTAAAAAAAAGGGAAGAAAATAAAATGAGTACCACCACACAGATTCTCTCTATCTTCCCTGTGGAGTGGAAAAGACAAGTACACTAGTCTGAATACATGTGTGTGTAATAAGAGCGTATCTATATATATAGTGCTAAATTATGGCAGGTGGTCACACACAAGTGTCATCATAATAATCTGTTCATAATGTTCACGGACCTTAAAAGGAAGGTCACTCTCTCAATTCTCTCACAGAAAAACACACGAACCTAATTCAAATTTTGAAAACTAAATAATTAGTTTATTTTAAAGTAAATACGTAATTTCAAAGTAATTTTATTATTATACTATGTAATCCGTAGGAATGTCTTTTGTGGTCACATGAGATAGTGGAGATAGGAAGAAAGAGACAACTGAAAGTTCCTGGATACACCTTTTTGAAATTAAACAATGTTGTCAGCGTCATCTATCTTTCAAGACTTATCTCATTCAGCAAATCAAATTCGTTCACGTGTGTATATTATAATATTCTATACTTCTGAATGTATAGGGATAATAGGAATCATCGGAACTAAAGATGCAATTGCTTTAAGAAGGATCTTTACTGTTGAAAGCATAACATTAGTATCAAAAACTTTGAATTAATAGAAGTTATATAGCCTTTGTAATTCATCTGTAGATAAAGGTAATGTAGCAGCTTCTGATTCTTGCTTAATAATCAAAAGTGAAGGCTTTCGTAATCTCACAAAGCTGCCTCAAGGGTCGAATAGTCTGCTTTTATTTTAAAGGTTAAGAACACTGATTTTTTATATATATGACGCCCAATGCATGACGTTTAGTGTCTGACGCCTTTTAGTGATTTGAGTTAGTTGCGAATTAGACTGTTTTTTACAAATTCCATGCATATATTATTAGTAGTGTACTTAGATTGACTCGGTGCGTTTTAATGTTCTTCCAAAGGCGAGAGTGATAGGTGCGTGTGGACAAAATTCCACGTCAGCAATATTAGTGTGGAGCCCGTTATGAGAAGCCACAGAGATACGCGTGTTGTACACACAGCTTGCATACAAAATCGCGTGGCTCCCACCTTCCAGCACGTGGGGTCAAAGACAGCGACACTCGATTCAACGTGGACAGACACTAGTCTCCAATTTTGTGTTGGGCCTTTTATTTAGGCCCAAAACTATTGAAAACTTTGGGCAAATATATAAGATCCAGTTCAAATATGATTTTGATAGTAGTTGTTGGGCTTTGATTAATAAAACGTTAAACAACTTTATATTAGCCACTAGAAATTCAGATGTGTGACAGTGACACTCTCTGCCACGCTGTGAGATTTGACGGACTTTTTGTCATCATCTTCCTCTAAAAAAAATAGTCTTTTTAAATTTTTATAAAAGCTGAAGCCAAGTCAGGTGCTGCCTCTTGTTAAGCTTCTCTTCGCCCCCCACTACTCCGATTCATCTCTCTGCATCTTGTAAGTCTTCTCCTTCTCATTCGATAACAGCTTCACTATCGTCTCATTGATTCTTATATTTTCCGTTATGTGATTTGCAGATCTCTGTACAATGTCGAAATCAGGCGCGATGGATCTCGCATCGAACCTTGGTGGCAAGATCGATAAATCCGATGTTCTCACCGCCGTCGAAAAGTAACTTTTTTTTTCTTTCTCAAAACGCATCGTTTCATTAATCTGATTCAGTTACTATAATTCGCGTGTTCTTCTTATGTATGTTGTGATATCCATTTGTATGCTTATGTTCAATATCTCCCAAAATTTTTGAGTACATATTGTTTTTTTTTTTTACCTTTCTCAAAACGCATAGTTTCATTAATCCTATTCACTTACTATAATTCGCGTGTTCTTCTTATGTATGTTGTGATCCATTTGTATGTTTATGTTCAATATCTCCCAAATTTTTTGAGTATTGTTTTTTTTTAAAAACAATTAAATGAAAATAATGCAATTGAATAATCTAAGTTTGGAACTGAGCTTTCAATACAGCATGAAAAAGGAAGACTGTGAGATGGTCCTTGTATTGTATCATTCTTTTGACGTGTATTTTCACTATTGTCACGTTCTTGAGGGCCCCCCGGCTCTTTTTTTTCTCGTGTCCATTAACGACATCTGTTTATTAAAGATTTGACTTTTATTTTATTTTATTTTGATTGCTCCTAATCTCATCTCACAAAGATGTAGAAATGCATGCATCAATGTGATGATTTTTTTTAATTGAAGATTACTAATTTTTTTAAGTGATTCGACTATTTCAGGTATGAGCAATATCACGTCTTCCACGGAGGAGAAGAGGAAGACAGAAAGGCTAACTACACTGACATGGTTAGTGTCCTTACAGTTTTTGAGCACTTTTAAGGCATGCGCTTTTTTTTCTTAATAATTACACAGACATGCCACTCTCTCTGCTTTGATAACAATCGTATATCCTTAGTGTTCCAGGAGATCATATTATTGATACATATAAAGTTGTAGTAAGCCAGGTATTGAAGTTAATCATACTGACTAATCAAATTCTAATCACATTTTCAGGTTAATAAGTATTATGACCTTGCTACTAGCTTTTATGAGTACGGATGGGGAGAGTCTTTCCATTTTGCACACAGGTTATTCTACACTTTCCACTTCTCTGCTACTCTGTTTGTAGTTCTACCAATAAATCTTTCTTTCTTGCAGCTTCAGACACTGATACTAGTTTAGTTATATTTAATTAGTATGAGTTTTTGTTTTGTTTTGTTTTGCAGATGGAATGGAGAATCACTTCGAGAGAGTATCAAACGTCACGAGCACTTTCTTGCTCTTCAGCTTGGGGTTAAACCAGGACAAAAGGTTTGATAACCTTTTAGCTGAGCGCTCCGACTTAATGGGACCCTTCACCATCAGATGCTCATTTCCTTGTTTATATTTCTCAATAGGTACTTGATGTAGGATGTGGAATTGGTGGACCACTGAGAGAAATTGCACGTTTCAGGTAAAATGACTTGCACATACCAAAAGCACATATTATTTTTTACATCATCTACATGAGATTTGAAGTAGTTGTCATGGTTAGCAAAATATATCAGTCTATGAATTGTGTGTGTTTGCTCTACTACAGCAATTCATCAGTTACCGGGATCAACAATAATGAATACCAGATCACCAGAGGCAAGGTAACACATCTATATTTGTGAAAGATGATGCATTCTGGTTCCCGTAAACTCTTGGACGTGTTATATCCTGTTTTCAAATTTGATTTTGGTTCATTCTGAAATGTGATTTTATTAACTCCATCTTATTGGCAACCCTCTTCTTTGCAGGAACTAAACCGACTTGCAGGTGTCGACAAGACATGTAACTTTGTCAAGGTTAGTTGATATCGTTCTTCTTGTATCACCATTTTAGTTGTAAATCCTGAGTTTGAAAGGAAAACACCTTGTAAAGGGAAACGTGAGGAAGATCGTCTTTTGTTAATCTTGCAGGCTGACTTCATGAAGATGCCGTTTCCTGAAAACACTTTTGATGCAGTTTATGCTATAGAGGCAACCTGTCACGCACCTGATGCAGTATGTTAAATTCTAAGCAGCTATATGTTTGTTTTATTCCCAGCATTAAATAAGCATTATGATTTCAACAACAGTATGGATGCTACAAAGAGATCTACAGAGTGCTAAAGCCGGGGCAATGTTTTGCTGCCTATGAATGGTGCATGACAGATGCATTTGACCCTGATAACGCCCAACATCAGAAAATAAAGGTCTAGTGTGGTCTCTTGCATCTATTTATACATACTATGGAATATAAACATATACTTCATTGTGCAGGCAGAGATAGAGATTGGAGATGGTCTCCCTGACATTAGGCTGACTTCAAAATGCCTCGAAGCTCTGAAACAGGCCGGTTTTGAAGTAAGTATCATCTAACTACAGATCCTCTCTATTTCCTAACGCAAACATGTCAACATCTAAAGATAATATTATTATCTGCATTGTTATAAAGGTAATATGGGAAAAGGATCTCGCCAAAGACTCGCCAGTCCCATGGTACTTACCTCTGGACAAAAATCACTTTTCGCTCAGTAGCTTCCGCCTAACAGCTGTTGGACGATTCATAACCAAAAACATGGTACGAAGGAAAACTCTGACTCATCTGCCAGATCTCACCAACTAATACTGTAGCTGTTCATATATCCCCAACATGTCGTTCTTATTTATAGGTGAAGATCCTTGAGTACATAAGACTGGCACCTAAAGGAAGCCAAAGGGTTTCAGATTTTCTGGAGAAGGCAGCAGAAGGATTAGTCGACGGTGGAAGGTAAGATGATACAAACTTATGTATTTTATATACCCCCTTCAAGTTTCAGATTGTCTGTTTTTTCTATAAGGTCAGATTCTAAATCCTATGTGTTAACAGGAGAGAGATATTCACGCCAATGTATTTCTTCTTGGCCCGGAAGCCAGAATGAGCCTGATGAGAGATGCTTTATCGTAGGTCGATCAAAGTTGACAGGTTTCTCAACTTGCTTTTTTGTTTGTTATGTTTCATCTCCTTTTGTTGGAGTGTTGTTCTCTCTTACATTGCTAAAAACTCTTGTTGCAATTTGTTTTGGACGATTCTTAACATGTCACGTGCTGCAACTCTGTCAGTGAATAACGTGCACATGCGCAAAATATCTTGGAGTCCTTTTATCTCTTTCTATTTTAGATCTCAGAAACTCTTTGTGTCGACTTCTGCTATGATCCAAAAGTGGTACCACTTCCATAAACAGACGTGGCCTTTGGATTCTTTACGTATAACCCTGAGATTCGTTGGGCCAAGTCGTAAAAATTAATGATTTGGTAAAAATGAAAACTTCATTACTGGAATGAAATTACTACCTCGGACTCGGAGTTTGACAAAATCATACAAACTGACCAAATACAAAAACCATGATAATGATACTAAAACAGCACCGCATGGTAAATAAGTTTGATTCATACAAATAATTACAAGTAAGCTTGATGAGTTAAACAACCGTGTTTTCTTAGAGCTTTCGATTTTCATTGCAGCATTTTTAAAACATGCATAATGTGTATTACGTGCTGAAATTCCGTCCCAACAATTGTTGTATTTTGATTTTGTTTTTCTAAAACAATACTAACTAGTGGGCCTTAGAATATCTAAAGAAGGCCTGGTAAAATACACTTAGGTTTGAAGCCCATCTATACCAATCAAAAGCCCCCTCGCTCGATTCCGTGTCCTCAAGCGCGTCCCCGACACGCGTTCCACTCCTTATTTAAGTTTTGAGTTCGAGTTGTTGTCCAAAGTATAATTCCTCCTTCCTCTATAAATACAACTACAAGTTAACAAAAACAAAACGAAAACGTAACAACCTATCTTGCCCCCAACAAACAACACAACACACCTTCCTTAACCCTCTCACCATGTCAACCACCTCAGTAATTATCATCGGCGCTGGAATCTCCGGTTAGAATCATCAACCTAATACTCTTGTTGATCTTGTAATTCATCGGTTGCTTGATTTTTATTTTATTTTTTAGGAATAACGGCGGCGAAGGAGCTCGTGAAGAACGGAGTAGAAGACGTATTGATCCTCGAGGCAACGGAACGGATCGGTGGGAGAATACAAAAACAGAGTTTTGGTGACGTGTCGGTGGAGCTTGGTGCGGGTTGGATAGCTGGAGTCGGTGGTAAAGAGTCTAACCCTGTTTGGGAGCTTGCTTCTCGTCTTAATCTACGTACTTGCTTCTCTGACTACACTAATGCTCGTTACAATATCTATGATCGAAGGTAAAACAGAATCTTGATTAGTTTCTTTCTCCTCCTCCGGAGTTTTTTTTTTTTTTTTTTTTGATTAACCTGGGAGTATCCTAAACCTATGTTTTTTTTTTCTAGTGGAGAAATCTTTCCGACTAGTTTCGCTGCTGACTCGTATAAGAAGGCTGTTGACTCGGCGATTTTGAAGTTAAAGAGTCTTGAAGCTGAATGTGCTGGTCAAGAAACTGAAGAAGCTCCTTCGTAAGTCTCTCTGTTTTTTTTCTTTATATTTTTTTCCGTTAAAAAGTTGGTTTCACCTATTTACCGAGAACCAAACAATATAAAATTATAAATAGTTTCTCCGAACGTGAATTAAACGGAATTTCACCTATTTACCGAGAACCAAACAATATAAAATTATAAATAGTTTCTCTTAACGTGAATTAAACGGAATGTGTTTACTAAACGGAATGTGTTTACTAGACACTCACTTTAGATTATTCATGAAACAAACGATAATTAATGTGGTGCTCTTGGTTTGGTTTTCAGGTCACCAGAGACGCCAATAGACCTCGCTATTGACTTCATTCTGCATGATTTCGAGATGGCAGGTAAATCATTACATCAAAATATTTTTGTCTGTTTTATTACAGTGTTTTCATCATTTACATTTAAATAATACTTTTTTGTCTTGTTTCTATTACCGTGTTTGTTCAGAGGTTGAACCAATATCGACTTACGTGGACTTCGGTGAAAGGGAATATTTGGTTGCTGATGAAAGAGGTTATGAATCTTTGCTTTATAAAATGGCTGAGGGGTTTCTCTATACTTCAGATGGTAACATCTTGGACAACCGCCTCAAACTAAACAAGGTAGACTTTTTTTTTTTTAAAACACCAAAAAAGTTATCTTTTGACTGTTTTTAATGATGAGGTTGATTGACCTCTTTTACTTTGAGTTAAAAGGAGTTTATTATGACGTTATTTTGGAAAAAAGCTACTTTTTGCCTTTTAGCTGTTGTTGATTTGCATTTTCCTGCTAATAAGTTTACAACTAACCACAGCTGCTATGTTCTCTCAGTCTAGTCTCAACCTTTGTTTTGTAGTGCAAATTGATTTTAATTTGTGGGGTCATGTTTTATTTATTGCCTCTCATAATCCAGCTGGCTAAGCTATTGTTAATAGTATTAGTAAATCTTATATTAGTGGTGAATTTAATGGCAGGTGGTTAGGGAGGTGCAACAGTCAAGGAATGGTGTTGTGGTGAAAACAGAGGATGGTTCCGAATACGAGGCTAATTATGTGATCGTGTCTGCTAGTATCGGTGTTCTCCAATCCAATCTTATCTCATTCCACCCTCCTTTACCGGTTAGTTTACTTTCTCCTCTTATCCTTTAAATTTATAATCAACTACTTATCTTTTATGCTTATTTAACGCTAAAAGATTGCACAAAATGGGGGAGGTTTTTAATCATTCATTGTACATGAACCTAGGAAATACTTATAAAATATTGCGTTAGCCATTAGGTAAAGAAAGTCATAATTCAATTTAAAAAAAAAAAAAATTCAAAAACCATACATCAAATACAATGAGTTGGTTGGTTATGCATGGTTGATCCATGGCTGTCTCAGAAGTCAGGATATGTTATTTTATTATAAATTTATAATCAATATTCATGTGATCTTAACTTATCCAAGAACTATTAATTGGTGACAGAAATGGAAAACAGAAGCAATACAAGAATGTGATGTGATGGTGTACACAAAGATCTTCCTAAAATTCCCTAACTGTTTCTGGCCATGTGGTCCTGGTCAAGAGTTTTTCATCTATGCACACGAACAACGCGGCTACTTCACCTTTTGGCAGGTTTGATTACCTTAAAAATTAAACAATTAATAGTTTGTTAATCTCAATGCATCTTTTTAATCACTCCACATAACGTTAGAAACGTGGCACATGCACTCCCTACTAATCTTAAAATTATAAACACCTGGAGGGTCCCTCTGATTATTATCATCATTGCTTTAATTATCTCGAGTGTCTAACCAGCTGCATGATCCATGTAGCATTGTATTATTAGTACAACTTGCTTGCTCTCTACTCTCTGTAACCTAACTGTTGCTTTGTTCTTAATCAGCACATGGAAAATGCTTACCCGGGGTCTAACATTCTGGTCGTGACGTTGACTAACGAGCAGTCAAAGCGCGTGGAATCACAATCAGACGAGGAGACACTGAAAGAGGCAATGAGTGTTCTCAGAGACATGTTTGGTCCCACTATTCCTTACGCAACTGATGTTCTTGTCCCAAGATGGTGGAACAACCGGTTCCAGCGCGGTAGCTACAGCAATTACCCTATGATATCTGATAATCAACTTCTCCGTAATATCAAGGTATGATAACAAGTTAACAACAACTTTTACTTTGTCTTTATTAGCACATTCACACATGTTGAGGTTTATGATAGTTTATCTGGTTTATGTGTGATCCAGGCTCCATTTGGAAGGATATTTTTCACAGGAGAACATACAAGTGAGAAGTTTAGTGGATATGTACATGGAGGATACCTTGCGGGTATGGACACAAGCAAGTCTTTGTTGGAAGAGATGAAACAGAGTTTGTTGTTACAACCTTTACTTGACTTCACAGAGTCTCTAACACAAACAGACAAGCGTTCTAATTCTCAAATGTACACTAATGTCAATTTAATCTCAGGGAGAAGCTAAACATGTGAATTACTTAATGTTATAATTCTTTTAGATCTACAGAAATTCATGTGAATTACTTAATGTAACAGTTGTCTTGAAATGCTGAATTTGTTGCAATATCTCTATATATTGTAGAACATTTTTGATAGTATTAATAGTATGGTTCGCCAGAATTAGAGCAAGCAATGCGATGTATAAAGTCTCAAAGAAGCTATCTGTATCTTACAATATTGAAGTGCTTGCAGAAGTTTTAAATACTTCAAAGAGAACTAGACTCACCAGACAAGGTCTCATAGCACTTCAAAGGTTCTGATTTATAATTAAAAGCTATAGTTACAGAGAACGAGAACGAGAACTGAATTCACTTACAACAAAAAAACCATCCCAACTCAAGATCCCAAAGTAACAACATCCTTCCCATAGATACGTTGAAGTTCAAGGCTAGCGACTTGATATGAAGCTGAAAAACAGAAAATAAGTAGAACAAAAACTTGTCAGCTGCTAATATCTATAATTAGAATGTCTTATGTTTGCAATATTTATACCTTTCCAGGTGTTGAAATTTTTATAGTTGATATCAGATCCAGTTACGTTTTGAATAGCATCAAACAACTTCTCCTGAGGTGTATTCTTCAGCTCTTGAACAACTCCATAAATGGTCTTTCCATTCTCAAAGTATATGTGATTGTTTGGATGCTTTGTCTTGCAATTAGCATGCTGCTCAAACTCATACGCATTAAGAACCTGTTGGAACATTTAACAGATGACATAGATTTGTAATAAACAGACATGACAGAGTAAACTACTAAGACTGTTTGTATCACGTTGCTTACTTTAGTAAGGTTACAGCTGCTGCAACCACATAGATACCCAGTCCCCTTTATAACTCCTTTGAGATTTTTCTGCCAGATAGCTTTTTTAGCAAAAGGAAGGGTAAAAGGTGAAAGATTCCTTGTCAGGAAAGGTTAAAGGAAGAAACAGACCTCACGTGACCATGAGTAGTACTTGACAGTAACTCCATCAAACATTCCTGTTGACAACAAGGACTTAACATTTGAAGGAAATGTGTTTGTGGAACCCTTCTTAGCTGTCTTTGAATCTTTACTTTTGGGGACGATCAAGGTATCAACTCTAGAGCTGGCGTAAGGAGGATTTCTAGATTGACAAAACATGTTGTCCTCTGCAGGAGAATAGCTGAAGTTCTCAAAACTGTTAACAACAGGAACTGGAGAACCCAATGGAGACTTTCCACCTGGCAACACAACATTAGCATTTTTTTTGTGGTAAGATGATTCAGTCATGAAAAGGTTTTCAGATGCTTTGTCACAAGGGAGAAGAGACATGAAGTTCTCATCAGCCTTTTGAAGAGACTGACCCATCAGTGCAAATGTTGAGAAGACATTTTCATCTCCTTTGTCATAACTCAAGTTTGGAATGAAGTTCCCATCTGGCTTGCTAGTGACTGGCCCTGGCAAGATGAAGCTCTTGTCAATGTTACTGCAGGTTTGGCCAAAGGAGAGAGTGTTATCTTCATAAGAAGGAGCCATTTCAAATGATCTTGAAACTCCTCCCTCACCATAAAACTGAACCATGGATTCAGGAGATTCACACACTTGATTGACCTTAACGTTTCTAATGGTATCAAGATTAAATGAGCTACTACCATGAACCACCTCCTGGTATGTGTGCTGCGGATTAGCAGGATCGAATAAGCAACTAGATAACTGTCTAGGCACAAGTGAATTGTCCCATGTAGACATATGAGGAGTTAAGAAACCAGGTTTGGCACTACTATCAATCTCAACCACTTGTCTCTTATTACTGAAAAGTTCAGAACCACTTGACTCTTCTTGTGTCAGCCACTGATGAATCCGCTTTAGTTCCATTCTCGTAGAGACAGAGGAAAGATTCTCCTCAACATCCTCTTCTCTGACAAGATCTGTTCTCATCCTACTCTGTATCACAACCAGCAAGCGGCATAATCAATAACAAACACTCACAATGAAGACTCAATAACCAACAAGAGTAGAAAGTTTTCTAGTTTCGAAAATGAACAGTATATTAGGAAATTTTGAGTCCAAGAACCCTAAAAAGGCTAAAACCAAGAAATAGCCGCTGTTAAAAACCACTAAAGAGATCAAAGGGTATTTACCTCTTGCAACATTAGAAATGAGATGAGGAAGTAGAGGGAATCAAAGGTTGGATGGAGATTTTGGGATTGGAGTTGCTTTTAATAGGAGTGATAGTGTTGAGGATCATCAAAGACTCAAACAGGGACTTGAATCGCTTTGGTCGTTACGAGTATGTGGAGAGTTACAATTACAAGTAATGCCCCGCCAAACTCTTGTCAGATTATTGACGCTTGTTATTTTTTTATTTTTATTTTTTTGTAGGTATCATTGAGTGTGACACTATTAGAAGAAAAATAACATCATCATGATGATGAAAAATATCTGACTGATTAGGTCAACTTATCAAATTATGATTCTGGCCCCACACAGTATCTCCCTTTGTCGTAAGGACATTAGGATAAATGATTTTTACCCCTTTTTACTTAACATCCATATTTTGCTAGTTGTCTATTATTTACAAGTTGTACAATTTTGTTTTGATAAACGCTATCGATTCATCTGGTCCCGAGAAGAATGCACTTAGTGCTATAAAGTAGACTAGCCCAAAGTGTATCACAGATTCGAGTTTGGAATATTTTCTTATTAATGTTAGAGGATGTACCGATCATTTATTACGGTCCACTATAAACTACTTGGACTATGAAATCCAAGTCCAAACTGACCAATTAGTGATAATTTAGTTTTCAAAGAAAATCGAACCATAAGCTGATGTAGATATACACCAAACCCAAAAAATTGCCACTAGGCTACAACTTTCACAGAAGGACATTTTCGCAGGTGGCTCTTCTACTTTGAATGTCATCTTAGCCACCTTCTACACCGCTCATAACTACTGCAACAATACATGATGCTAGTTTGCATCATCCTTCTCTAAGACTATGCTTCAGATTTGGGCTTTCCATATTAATAAAACAAATGTGGCCCACATTTCTTTTTTCTTATTAGGCCTAATTCGTTTTTATAATATGGGCCACAGGAATGAGCTGTATACATTTTCTCTTTCTAATATTTTTTTTGAGCAACTTTCTCTTTCTAATATAAAGAAGGGAATTCACATGCTCTGCACCAGTATTGGCTTCTGGTTCTATATAACTCAGGACCAAATAAAATGTACAACAAGGTTTTCAGTGGGGACACATTTCATAGTACCGTCTAATTGCAAATATAAACCGACCGGTCCGGTCCTTGTTTGGAACAGAGTACTTAAATGGCATAGGATAAGGCCAAAGAATCTTTTTACATGGCTGAAACCGAAATAAAATCTCCATGACAACTACAATATCCACGCGCCCAAGCCAACTAAAATATAAACAGAAATCTCAATGAACCAATGAGAAGCCAGTAAACTCCATCACATTGTCCTCAGCAAAGATCAAACAAAACTCAACCTCACGAACTCTCACGTACCTATTCCTCCACGTGTCCTTCCCTCCCACCACTTCCCTTCAAAACCAACGCTTCTTTTTAGCTCCTTCCAAAGAGAAACATAAAAGCAGAAGATCAAAAGACAACAACAAAAACGTAAAAGAAGAGAGATTAGTTATTCTCTCTTCACACTACTACAATCTCTTCTTCTCTTCTCAATCTATCTGCCAAAACAATGGCTTCACTTATGTATTCACCATTCACTCTATCTACTTCCAAAGCAGAACATCTCTCTTCCCTCTCCAACACCACCAAACACTCCTTCCTCCGCAAGAAACCAACCAAATCTTTATTCAAAGTGAAGTCCTCTGTTTCAGGCGGAAACGGTCTCTTCACACAAACAAACCCTGAGGTTCGCCGTATAGTCCCCACCAAGAGAGACAACGTGCCCACAGTTAAAATCGTCTACGTCGTCCTCGAGGCTCAGTACCAATCATCACTCTCCGAAGCTGTACAAACCCTCAACAAAACATCAAGATTCGCTTCCTACGAAGTCGTTGGTTACTTAGTCGAAGAGCTTCGCGACAAAAACACTTACAAGAGCTTCTGCAAGGACTTAGAAGACGCCAACATCTTCATAGGCTCTCTGATCTTCGTCGAGGAGCTTGCTCTCAAAGTAAAAGAAGCTGTTGAGAAAGAGAGAGACAGGATGGATGCTGTTCTCGTCTTCCCTTCGATGCCTGAAGTGATGAGACTAAACAAGCTTGGTTCGTTTAGTATGTCTCAGTTAGGTCAGTCCAAGTCTCCTTTCTTCCAACTCTTTAAAAGGAAGAAAGGAGCAGGATCAGCTGGTTTTGCAGACAGTATGTTGAAGCTTGTAAGAACATTACCCAAAGTTCTAAAGTACTTACCTAGCGACAAGGCTCAAGACGCGCGTCTCTACATCTTGAGTTTGCAGTTTTGGCTTGGCGGTTCTCCTGATAATCTTCAGAACTTTGTTAAGATGATATCCGGATCTTATGTCCCGGCTTTAAAAGGCGTTAAAATCGAGTATTCGGATCCGGTTCTGTTTTTGGATACTGGAATATGGCATCCTTTAGCTCCAATGATGTATGATGATGTTAAAGAGTATTTGAATTGGTATGATACTAGAAGAGACACTAACGCTTCTCTCAAGAAGAAAGATGCTACTGTTATTGGTTTGGTTCTTCAGAGGAGTCACATTGTGACTGGTGATGATAGTCATTATGTGGCTGTTATCATGGAGCTCGAAGCTAGAGGAGCTAAGGTGATTCCTATCTTCGCTGGAGGGTTGGATTTTTCTGGTCCGGTTGAGAGATATTTTGTGGATCCGGTTAGTAAACAGCCTATAATAAACTCTGCGGTTTCGTTAACCGGGTTTGCGTTAGTGGGTGGACCAGCGAGGCAGGATCATCCTAGGGCTATTGAGGCTTTAAAGAAGCTTGATGTTCCTTATCTTGTGGGGGTTCCACTGGTGTTTCAGACGACGGAGGAGTGGCTTAACAGCACGCTTGGGTTGCATCCTATTCAGGTGGCTTTGCAGGTTGCTTTACCTGAGCTTGATGGAGGGATGGAACCTATTGTTTTCGCTGGTCGTGACCCTAGAACAGGTTAGTCACCTTATGAGCCTTATTGCATATCTCTTAGTTTTCATTATAAGTGTTGGAATGTTTTCTTATTGAAGATCTTTGTTTACTAATTGTTGCAGGGAAGTCACATGCTCTTCACAAGAGAGTGGAGCAACTTTGTATCAGGGCTATTAGATGGGGAGAGCTCAAAAGAAAAACTAAGGTATCATTACTTAATACCAATGTTCAAAAAATCGATATAGAGAGCATCTTTATGGTAAACCAGTCATAGTCGAAATGAGTTTTTTTTTTTTAAATGAATTTTAAATAGCTCATATGGGTATAAAGAGTCTTAAATTGATTAAAAATCGGTCTAAATTGATTTAATTCGGTCTAAATAGGCGAAATCAAATCAAATAACAACAAACTAATTTATAATTTGTCTGATTTGTTTTTTTTTTTGTATATCAGTTTTTATAATTCATCAAACTGATTTATAACTAATCCTAAAAAGATATCTAAGAAATAATTTTCTTAAAATCCGATTTATATAGCTCAATATCGGTTTAAGGCGTCCTAAATGGTCCAAATTGGTTTAATTTAATCTAAGCTGGTGTAATCGGTTAATTAAGTGACAATGTTAGTGTGAGTTCACAAATTTGTCTGTTTTGTTTTTTTTTAAATATTTTTTTTATAAATAATTCATCCAATAATTTATAATTAATTCTAAAAATTAGTCTAGTATAAATAACTATATAATAAATAATCAAATAATCCGTTATCTCATAGTCCTAGCCTAATGATTTCTTAAACATTGCTTAATACTCATCCTTAGTGACATAATGACATCATCAAACATGCAATGAATGTTCTAATGAAAAAAATGTGTCTCATTACAGGCAGAGAAGAAGGTAGCAATCACTGTTTTCAGTTTCCCACCAGACAAAGGAAACGTAGGAACCGCAGCATACCTCAACGTCTTCGCATCCATCTTCTCAGTCCTAAAAGACCTCAAGAGAGACGGCTACAACGTGGAAGGACTACCCGAGACAGCAGAGACTCTCATCGAAGAGATCCTCCACGACAAAGAAGCTCAGTTCAGCAGCCCTAACCTCAACATCGCTTACAAAATGGGAGTCCGCGAGTACCAAACCCTAACTCCTTACGCAACCTCCTTGGAAGAGAATTGGGGGAAGCCTCCAGGGAACCTAAACTCAGACGGAGAGAATCTCCTCGTCTTTGGTAAAACGTATGGTAACGTTTTCATTGGCGTGCAACCCACGTTTGGGTATGAAGGTGATCCCATGAGGCTTCTCTTCTCCAAATCAGCTAGTCCTCATCATGGTTTCGCTGCTTACTACTCTTACGTGGAGAAGATCTTTAAAGCTGACGCTGTTCTTCATTTTGGGACTCATGGCTCTCTTGAGTTTATGCCAGGGAAGCAAGTGGGGATGAGTGACGCTTGTTTTCCTGATAGTCTCATTGGGAACATACCTAATGTTTACTACTATGCAGCTAACAACCCTTCGGAAGCAACCATTGCTAAGAGGAGAAGTTATGCTAATACTATCAGTTACCTGACTCCACCAGCTGAGAACGCTGGTTTGTATAAAGGGCTTAAGCAGTTGAGTGAGCTGATATCTTCTTACCAGTCTCTCAAGGACACTGGGAGAGGTCCACAGATTGTTAGCTCCATCATCAGCACTGCTAAGCAGTGTAATCTTGATAAAGATGTGGATCTTCCTGATGAAGGGACAGATCTTTCTGTTAAGGAGAGAGATCTTGTGGTTGGGAAAGTCTACTCCAAGATTATGGAGATTGAGTCTAGACTCTTGCCGTGTGGGCTTCATGTCATTGGTGAGCCTCCTTCTGCTATGGAAGCTGTTGCTACACTTGTCAACATCGCTGCTTTGGACCGGGTTGAAGATGGGATCACATCTCTTCCTTCTATATTAGCTGAGTGTGTTGGACGTGAGATTGAAGATGTGTACAGAGGAAGTGACAAGGGGATCTTGAGCGATGTTGAGCTTCTGAAACAGATAACTGACGCCTCGCGTGGCGCGGTTTCCGCATTTGTTGAGAAGACTACAAATAGTAAAGGACAGGTTGTTAACGTGTCTGACAAGCTTACTTCGATTCTAGGGTTTGGAATCAATGAGCCATGGGTTGAGTATCTCTCCAACACTAAGTTTTACAGAGCGAATAGAGATAAGCTGAGAACAGTGTTTGGCTTCCTTGGAGAATGCCTTAAGCTGGTGGTGATGGACAATGAGCTAGGGAGTCTAATGCAAGCATTGGAAGGGAAGTACGTTGAGCCAGGTCCAGGTGGTGATCCTATAAGAAACCCTAAGGTTCTACCAACTGGTAAAAACATTCATGCGTTGGATCCTCAGGCTATTCCCACAACAGCAGCAATGGCAAGTGCCAAGATTGTTGTGGACAGGTTGGTGGAGAGACAGAGGATGGAGAATGAAGGGAAGTATCCAGAGACAATAGCTCTTGTCCTTTGGGGAACTGATAATATCAAGACGTATGGTGAGTCTCTTGGACAGGTTCTTTGGATGATTGGTGCTAGACCAGTTGCTGATGGTCTTGGGAGAGTGAACCGTGTTGAGCCTGTGAGCTTAGAAGAACTTGGAAGGCCTAGGATTGATGTTGTTGTTAACTGCTCTGGAGTCTTCCGTGATCTCTTTATTAACCAGGTAAATAGATTAAAGCAATGTTCTAAAAATTGGTTTAGTCAAAACAATTTTCTTAAGTAGTTAAACATTTAAAAAAAAAAAAATTGATTTATACAATTCAAATTAGGTTAAACCATTTTAAATTGATTTAAATTGGTTTAAATCTGTTAAATTAAAGTAATAATTTTAGTACAAATCCATAAATTTATATAGTTTTTTTGTATATGTAATTTTTATAGTTCATCAAAATAATTTGTCTAGTTAATGAAAGTAATGTTTTTAAAAATTAAAATAAAAACAAACCAAAATATCTACTATAAATGGAAAATATATAAAACTCAGTCAATAATTTGATAAAGATTTTTTGAATATTGGACTAAAGCATTCACTTTAGTTTATTGTTGTTTGGTGTCTCATGGTGCTTCTTCTTTCATGCAGATGAATCTTCTTGACCGAGCAATCAAGATGGTAGCTGAGCTAGACGAGCCAGTTGAGATGAACTATGTGAGAAAACATGCAATGGAACAAGCAGCAACGCTTGGAGTTGATATTAGAGAGGCAGCGACAAGAGTTTTCTCAAACGCGTCAGGGTCATACTCATCAAACATCAGTCTCGCTGTTGAGAACTCTTCATGGAACGATGAGAAGCAGCTTCAGGACATGTACTTGAGCCGAAAATCGTTTGCGTTCGACAGTGATGCTCCTGGAGCAGGGATGGCTGAGAAGAAGCAGGTCTTTGAGATGGCTCTTATGACTGCAGAAGTCACGTTCCAGAACCTTGATTCTTCCGAGATTTCGTTGACTGATGTGAGCCATTACTTTGATTCTGACCCTACAAACTTGGTTCAGAGTTTGAGGAAAGACAAGAAGAAACCTAGCGCTTACATTGCTGATACAACAACCGCAAACGCACAGGTTAGTGAACTGGACATGGAGCATACTATCCAAAATATTTAAAATTATTTGAAATATCTTTTTTTTAAATCCGAAAACCCGAATAGTCTGATATTTAATCTAAAACCCAAAATTTCTGAATTTTAACCTAAAATAACCAAAAAATCAGAACCAAATGAGATAAAAATTATTTAGGATATATCCGGTTTCTGAACTTTGTCACCCGAACCAAAACCAAACCAAATTTTCCAATTACCCGAACGGATCTTATACCTCTAGAACTGAAAAACAGAAGAACCAAAAGAACTGAACCTTAATGCCCAAGGCTAACTTGAATTCTTAAAACAGAACACATTTGCTTAAACTATATTTGATTCTTGTAGGTGAGGTCACTATCTGAGACAGTGAGGCTGGATGCAAGAACAAAGCTGCTGAATCCAAAGTGGTATGAAGGGATGATGTCAAGTGGATATGAAGGAGTTCGTGAGATAGAGAAGAGACTGACAAACACTGTGGGATGGAGTGCAACATCAGGTCAAGTTGACAACTGGGTGTACGAAGAGGCTAACACAACTTTCATCAAAGATGAGGAGATGCTTAACCGTCTCATGAACACTAATCCAAACTCCTTCAGGAAAATGATCCAAACTTTCTTGGAAGCTAATGGTCGTGGTTACTGGGAGACTTCTGATGATAATATTGAGAAGCTCAAGGACTTGTACTCTCAGGTTGAAGACAAGATTGAAGGGATCGATAGGTAAACAATGTGAATCCTATTCCTTGCGTAAATGGAGACAAATTGTTGATGTTTATTTTTAAACCAATGACATCATGTCTATGTGAATAAGAGAATGTTTTTGCTGACATTTTCTGACTTTATATGAATGTTGGAGGAGTCTCTTCTTCTATGCCAAAGAGGCAGTATTAATATGTTGTATTTGATGTTCTTACTCATATTGAACAAACACCTTTTTCTCCATATTTTCTCATACTTGAAACCCTTAATCTTCTTATTTCATTTTCCTGTTCACTATCACCTTGTATGTACGCTTGAATCTTAATTAACTTGGAAAGATAATGAGATGAAAATATTATCAACTGGATAGAATAGTAAAATAACACTAATCGATAAAATAATAAGATATTTTTTTCAATAATTCTATGTAAAGATATGGTTCAATAAAATTATAAATTAATAATTTATATGTGTATACATTATATATATATATATATATACAAATCAACGATTATATTGTTTGTTTTATATTCATAAAGGAATTATTTTTATATTTCTAACACTTAATATATTTTGATGAGATTTAGTAAAATTATATTAAAACCACATTCAAATTCTATAAGATATATTTTGTATATACCAAATAATATAATAAAACTAAGAAACATATCTAATTTCAGAATTTAATATATATACACTAAAATAAAATATTTTCTTATTCTAGAAAAATATATCTTGAAATGGAAAAATCTAAAAAATAAACCTTTTATACACAGTAATAAATCTATAAATTAATAAAACATCAAAATCCCAACATTATTAATTTATAAAGTTTTTAATGTAATAAACAAACAAGAGGTCATTATAGAAAGAAATCAAGAATAGAGATTTAGTTCATGAATATGGTGACTCTTATCAAAGAAAGATATCTATTCACCATTTCACTTTCCTTTTATAATCTCTTAACAATTACCACTATGTAAACTCATATATATCTGCTCGCTGTCAAAGAGAAAAAACAAAACAAAAACTCGTATCTGCATTTGCAAAAACAAGTAATGGATTCCTCATCATCTTCACCCACAAGAATCATCATGAGAGACGCTGAATCAAGTGCTAGCCAGTTCTTAAGTGGTGAACAAGAAACAACTAATCATGTAGCAAAAACAAACAATGTTGAGAGTGAGCAAGTAATTGCAGATGATAGGGCAATCTTACTCACATTTCCTGGAGGATACCCAGTCTCTAAAGCAGAACTGCATGCCTACTTCACCAGGTACTGATTTCATTTTACAAAAAAAAAAAAAGAAGAAGAAGGTTGCAGTCTCATAATCCCAAGTATTTAAGATCCCATATTTCAATAGATTTCAGTATGTTTAAAGTTTTTCCGTATAATTTTCTTGTAACACTTCATATTCTGCGCGCATGCTTGTAGTTGAGCGTTTTCATCAGGGTAGAGTTTTTAAACGGTAGTGTTCTTTTTCTTTTGGTGTTGAAGGAGATTTGGTGATATTATAGAAGCCATAGACATGGGTGAAGGGGGAAGGGATGACCAAGCGCCGCATGCAAGGATGGTGTTACATTCTGCCGCCAAGGTTCCAGAGATTGTAAGCGATGGAGTATGCAGGAGCGAATTCATCATTAATGGAAAACAAGTTTCGGCTCGAAGATTCAATCACAAAGCCTCCAATTAGATGCTTTCCCATCCCTATGGAGTCTCTCTCTGGCTGACTATGTATTCTTCTTGTTTTATGTTAAGGTGTTGTGAAGGGCATGTGCCCATTTCTAATAATTTGAGACCTGTTTTATTTGGTGATTGACAGTTGGTTGCATATCAAAACTATTTTGCATGGACTCAAGTTGGTCGCTTTTCTAACATCTTTCACTTTCTGTCCATGCTATGCTAATCATTCTTCTGCTATTTACCCCTTACATGCTGCACACTCTTGTCCAAAACACATACAAGAATACCTAAACAATCCATATATGACTGACTAGTCAACCTGAAAAAACTGATTCCAACGCCTGCAAGATAGCTGAGACGTTAAACTTGAAGCTTCTGTAAGTGTTTACAGGTATTGTGTCCTGTTTTTTAGGCTTTTTATTGTAGATTTCTGTTGTTGTTGTTGCTGCTCCACCACTACTAGTCTTTGCAGTTCCCACGGAAAGTGCTGTACAAAGCCTAAGAAGTCAGATCTCTGCCAAACACAACGCTCTTTTATGCATGCTTGGTGAAAAATATTATTTCAGGTCTCCTTGATACGGGTGCCGGATGCTTTGATATCCACCACTTCAACGACCTGTAGATGTTTGTAATCTCTAATACTATGCACTAACAATGATTATCACCCAAGAATCTATGTGGACAAATAAAAAGAAACTACTCAAGCAAGAAAAGGTGCCACCATATACAACTTGAGACCAGCAACTCCATACCTCATTGCTTGCTGGCTGAAGATGATCAAGCCGATGCCATGCAATTTCCTATAATTATTCCACAACAACTGAAACGTAAGAGACGCATTCATCATACATACGCAGATAAGACCACACCCACAAAGGCCCCGACTGTTAAAAACATGCATCTTGTCTTGTGGAATTGTTGTGCTCCTAGTATTGTTTGGTTTCTGGCTGATACCTCTTATTTGGAGTTAACTTGTGACAGTTTTTTTGCATGTGGTGGTGACAGGTTGGAGAAGCCACCAAATGCAGATCAGGGGGACATTCAAAGTCTGGAGCAGGAGGAGTAGTATCTAGACTATGAGACCAAGGAAAAGTCTGGAGCAGGTTGGTCTTCCTCGTCACTGATCTGTTTTTTTTAATCAAAACACAGATCATTACCATTGTGGATAACATGAAAGAGCATTTCCATGTTCTCCAAAGCAAACTAGAATAGTAACTGGAAACATTACTCTCTGATCAAAGTTAGCAAACAGAAAAAAAAACATTACTCTCTGACCCTTTATTAATCGATAGAACGGGGGTTCAAATGGAAACCAAAAAAATAAATAATAAAATAACAAAAACCTATGAACCTCTCTCTCATAGAGTTCTCTCGGGTGAACTCTTTCTCCTGAGGTTCAACACGTGTCAGTTCGGAATTGGTGTGGATGCTCTTATTGTACTAAGTTCTGAACTCTTACAGGAAGGACATGATTTGGATCCACAAAAGTAAAGATGGGGGTTTAAAAAGGACACAATAAAAAGCTCGGGGTGTGTTAGTGAATAATATTTTTTTTTGGGTTAGTGTTGTGAATTGTTTGTGATGATCAATGGACCCGACATGAGAGAGTTGACCTACTTTACTCATCAACATCGTGAATCTAGACGCTATAACATCCATCTTCATCCCTAATCTCATTTTCTCACTTCAAAACACATGTTTCATAAGTCTCCATTACTTAAAAAAATCGACTAAAATGGCACGTAAACCACTTGTAGTGGATGACTGTTTTGTACTATTTGAACACGACGAAACAAACAAGTTACACAAATTATTCCTTCCAATTAACAACTAATTTAAATACGTAGTTAATGCTAATCAAACCACAATTTCTTATACCTAACTACGTCACCGAATCGTTTTACTATACGTTAATTAAATAATTCATATTTACGTGGACGTAATTAAACAGCAGCCAATAATTTTATTAATACTTAGATATTGTTATAGAATAAAGAAGAAGGTTGTAACTCTGTATATCTTATTCATCACGTGCACATACATATATATACATACAAGAGAATAAGCATATTCCTTAGGAGATAAGGATTACAACAATAAAGGGGATGATTATCCTAATCCTATAATGATTAGGATAACTACAACATATGGATAAATACAAGGGAGGATAGTGACT